TAGATGTCTATACTATGTGTAAATCCATTCCTCTGAATTGTGCAGATTCTGTCCACAGAATTTCTACACTCAAAAATACACTTAAACTGCAGGTCTGCCAATTATGATGCCTCTTAACTACAAGCATGCTTTCTGTTAGCAAGCATAGTTTGGTGTTAAGTATTGAACACGCTTTCGTTTCGTGTCCCCCATCAAGATCTACCCACTTTAATCCATCTCTGTCTAAACGATAAGACTGAACAGAGTTAAATAATGCATGTGAAAGTGGACATCTCACATCCATGTATCCTCAAAGCGTTCAGGCTTTTCTAAATGGAGTTTTTAAAGCAACGCAGCATCTGGATGTCCACTGGACTGCAGACAGGATATGCTGTGTTTCTTTTCCCATAATTCACATCATGTGTTGGATCTGGAAACCGTCTGTGCACCATGTGAGTTATTGACTAACCTGGATGAGTTTGCTAAATCCTTGGTTCAAGAGTTCATGACTGCTGTGGTTGGCAGTTGTTTTATTATTCTGTGTCATGGGCATCTGTACTAGATTTCTTTTCAGATCCAGTTCCATTGATCTATCAGATTATAACAAGGTGCTGGGTGTTTTATCGAATTTTTCAATATTCAATAATATATTGCTGCAGATACTAAATTAAGTAGCATTATGTGTATTGTGTAGATTTTTAAATCTCTTACATGTTTTTAAGGCTTGTATCTTTTTTTCTTGCGAATATGATGCTATATGTTGAGATATTTTAACCATCTTTGATTTAAATCTTAGTAACAAAGATGCCAATATTGTGAAGTTTAACTTATTTCCTTGAATCGGTTCTTTTGAACTGTTTATTTAATTGAATCAGAAACACTTATTTCATGATTTATTTGAATCGTCGCTGAAAAATTTTCAACTGTGGTAATATTCTCATGTTCACTGTTTTTATTTTATTTCTGTTATTTGTTTAAACATTGAATCTAATTGACAGCAGCAAAGAGTTTATTTAGTGTGTGTCTGAACGAACATTTTTCGTTAAGCGACATCAAGGCTGTAAAGCATGTAGTGAAGTGGATTGTGGTCAAAGGACTTTAGAATGTTAACTTTTTTTTTAGTTATTTATTGCCTAGTTAGTAAAAAGACAAACTGCCCAAAGTTCCATAACCTTTGCTTGTTTGTAAAATATCCCACTAGACACAATTCCTAAGCGAGCAGGTAACAGAACAGAGTTATGAAGCATTTAGCATGACTGGCTTACATCCGCTCTGAATTTCTTTGTCATGACATTGGCAGTGGAGACAGTGAGGTTTTCTGGAGGAGCAAAATCGAGCTCTGGCTCCCATTAGTAAATATAGAAGGTTCTCGGATGCAGATCATAGTCATGTAAAAAATAGCTCAGTGGAATGCATGGCCTTGGCTCTGTGCAGTCCGTGCCAACTCTGAGCGCACGCATATGTGCACTGCAAGTCATCCAGGCTGTGTTCACCTTCAGTTCAAAGCTCTTTGATATCGGGTGTTAGTGATGGGTCAGACGGGTACTTCACAACAGGAAGTGAGAGTCTCAAGCAGGAAGGGTTAGTGGAAAGTAAGATGTTTGGAATTTCAGCTGATAATAAGCTCATCTATATTGACTACAGCTTTGTACATTATTTGCATCAAGCTCCATAGATTTACAGCCCTGCATTGTGAACAGTATTTTACTAAATCTTTGGCACTTCTGATTTGTTAACATTCATTTTACTTAAGAATAGGCTCTTTGCACTAACCATTCTACAAGTTTCTGGTACTTCTAAAGGCTTTGTTATGGAGTATCCTGTTCCCAATTTCCTGTCTCTAAGGATCCCTGATGGGAGTTGAAATAATGCAGAAAGAATTCCATACTGAAATATTCCAAAAGACAACCTAAATATAGTATTGGTTTTGAGGAGGATCTATTTACAGGCCCAGTAACCAAGCTGTGTTTTATGACCATGAAATTTAACTAAAAGTGTATTTTTATTAGTATTATTAATACTGTTAAATGTTCCTAATTGCAGTGAAAACTATCTGTTATTTATAGCTAAATATATAAACAGTTCACAAGTTTGGGGTCAGTAAGATTTTTTTTCAGGGATGCAGGATATATTGGCCACCATATCGATATCGGCCGATATATGTTCATTTTTAACGTTATTGTTATCGGCCTGATAAGAAAAATTGGCCGATATATTAAAGTCGATAAATAATGTATTATTTCCTTCAGCTGAGACACTTCAGATGCGCACTGTTCACCATGATGATTTTGAATTGCTTGAAATATAATTGGCATCACTTCAAAAAAGGAAAATACAGTTCAGTCATACATACAATTATAATGAGAACTTAATAATCGTGTGCTTGGGCCATGGCTTTAAATGGTGAGACTTTTATTTTTGTAACCAGGTTCTCAAAAGTGATATAAAAATTTGGTTTTAGATTTATCAGCCAATATATCTGTTATCGGCTTCCAAATCTAAAAAATGCTCGGTATCGGCCAAAATGTTCATATCGGTGCATGCATTCCTAATTTTTTTCTTATGCTCACCCAGGCAGCATTTATTTTAATTTTTTTAATGCAGTGAAACAGCAGTAATATTGTGAAATATTATTACAAGTAAATGTTTTATTTATATATATTTAAATGTAGTTTTACTCCAGTTTTCAGTGTCACATGATCCTTCAGAAATCATTCTAATGTGCTTATTTGTTGCTCATGTAGCATTGTTTGCATGTAAGCATGTTTGGGGAATTTCAATACAGCACTGCCTTGAAAGCACTAGTAAACTGTTAAATAATTATCCTAGGCTGAGGATTTTCCAGAAGTCGCAGTTCTTCTCTGCTTATTTTTCAAAGTTGCCATTACTACTAGCCAAGTAGGTCATACTCTTAGAAAAGCACTCTTGTTTCTGTGACCTTTCTTGTTGTGCGTCGTCAAGGCATCGCAGCGTCTAAGCCGAATGAGTAAGTAGATGCAAAACAGGGGCTGAGTTCAGTAGTGAACTATAACAATACCTTTTCACTCAAAACACAATCCTCAAGCCACTGAAACTGGCCACGAGAGGAATTTTTCCTCATCACTAAACCGTGCTCCCCGCTCTCTTGACGGCATCCCTGCAGGCATGCATACGCTTTCATGTCGGTGTACGGCGAAGCATCCTGTTTACATCACAAAATGTCTCCATGCCAACGAGAGGCTGGTGAGGGGTGCTGGGTCCTGGCAGTGCCATGTGGGCTTGGCTCGGGCTCGGCTGTGTGTATTGTTTCAATGAAGCAGGGATTTCTCTGCCCTGCACTGAGAGGAGTGTGGAAATGGGGCAAGGCATATGAGATCCCAGAACATCACAGCAAAGTTGTAGCCATGCTCTGCAGACTCGTGCATTTTTAGCATTCTTGTTTGTTTCGCATTTTAACAGAAAGCAGGTGGTTTGGACAACTAGATGTCGAGAGGACTGGGGCCTGAGAGTGGTCAGGATTTGCTTTTAGTAGTCTGAAGGTAAAGGAATGCACTTACGTCTTCTACAATTATGTTTTGAGCTTGGCAATAATAGATTTTGCTGTTTGTCACTAGTACTGATTGGTGTAGGTCCTAAAGAGAACACACTGAAAATAGGTTTATTTAAACCTGAAAATAAACAATATTTATTATAACTTTAAATTTATTACAATTTATTACAAATACAACAGACACTTATAAATTGATACATTTAATAATGTATTTAAAGATATATTTTTATGTATTTTTAACTTTTAAGTATATAAAATATATATATTTATATAGCAGATTTGCAAATAAAGTTACAGTATCTAGCTGGCTAACATAAATAATGTTTTGCACTGAAACTGCAAGACTGTATTCCAGCATACTACCATTCAAAAGTTTGGGGTTAGTAAGATTTTTATTTTATTTTTTTTTTAGAATTTTGAATAAATTAGTACTTTTTATTCACCAGGGATGCATTAATTTGATCAAAAGTGCCAGTAAATACTTTTACATTGTACATTTCAAATAAATGCTGTTCTGTTCATCATAAAATCCTGAAAAAAGTGAGTATAATTCCCTCAAAAATATTAAACAGCACAACTATTTTCAACATTAATAATAATAAATGTTTCTTGAGCAGCAAATCATCCTTTTAGAATGATTTCTGAAGGATCATGTGCCACTGAAGACTGGAGTAATGATGCTGAAAATTCAGCTTTGCATCATGGGAATTAATGACGTTTTAAAATATATTCAAACAAAAAATGGTTCATTTTAAATTGTAATAACATTTCACAATATTACTGTTTTTCCTGTATTTTGAATCAAATCAATGCAGCTTTGGTTTGTATAAGAGACCTTCAAAAATATTAAAGTCTTACAAACCCAAACTTTTGAACAAAATTGTACATGTGCTTATGAATTTATAGCCATCTTGGATTTGCATTTATTTCCAGCTATTATTGCAAATAAAAATAACTTTTATTATTTTTAATAATAGTAATAATAATAAAATAAAGTTATATAAAATAAAATACATTTGTGGTGGGGCCAGTGAAAATGTTGGTAAGTACAAATCTGAACTATTGGCGTGAATGTTCAGATTCCAAATGTTCAAAAATGTTTCTTAATCGTGAATTTAGTGTAATAGTTTCCATATGTAGTGGATACCCTTCCTGTCATCTAGCCCCTGGTTTCTCACCCGTTTATTTATTTATTTATTCGGCTCTACTCACTAGCTTTGTTTTTTTTTTTTTTACTTCTCTTTCGTCTGCTTATTTCTGCCAGTGTCATTATATCTGCGGATGTCATTATATCCGTCTTTTAGGGATAGATGGCTTTGTAGCAACGTGTGTGGACTAAATACAGGGCGGTTAGTCTCCAGAGCGAGCCAATGAGAAGCATGAATTTCAGACCATTAACTGGTTGATGTTTGGCAGTCAAAGGTTTTTATAATGAACTGTTTCGTTTCAAACCCTGTCTTGTTAACTCCATGTCTCTGTATTTGTTTTTTAGTTTGAGCCGAACTAATGGGGAGATCACACAGTCGGACACAAAGCTAGAACGCTCAAGACCAGATCATCTACTTCCTTCGTGCCAGGGACTCCATACTGTCGTGTTGGATGCAGCTTAATAAGCAGAAGAAGAGAAAGAAAGGATTTCTCTCACTCCAGCGGACTAGATTGTTTTCGGTATGATGAAAAAGTGAACTTGAATAGTTCCAGAAACCCCAAAAAAACACGTGAGACGGACCTAGAACTTTTGTGGGGGACATCGGGCTGAAGTGGGCGGCATCGTTGGTCAGGTAAGGAAACGGGGATCCTGTAGGATGACCAGCCTTTTCCGACGTAGCAGCAGTAATGGAGGTTCTAGGGGTGGCGGAGGCTCGGCTGCAGGCGAGCTCAACAACTCCAAGCCCAACCGGCAAGTTCGACGGCTTGAGTTCAACCAGGCCATGGAGGACTTTAAAACCATGTTCCCAAGCATGGACTATGAGGTGATTGAGTGCGTCCTGCGCTCCAACAATGGGGCTGTGGATGCCACCATCGACCAGCTCCTGCAGATGAGCATCGACGGGCAAGGCTCAGATGACAGTTCGGATTCAGATGACAGCATCCCACCAGAGGTCATTGTCTTTTTTTAAGTATACTATATTCCCCATATGATTGCATTTCTTCAGAGGAAGACAAAAGCAGTGCTCAACGCCTGGTCAGGCCAGTGGTTTAAATTTGGACGTGCCCTGCACCACAACAAAAAATAACTATTTATTTTCATTGTCTCATGTAACCTTGTAATAAATACAGTTATGGCTCCAAAATGTTAGATACCAGTGAAATTTAACAATTCTCGATTCTAATTTTAATATTTCTAATTTAAAAAACGACTTGCCTAACTAATGTACATTCCAAACATTATTAAAGACAAGTAAACAGTCAGTAATAAAATAAGAACAAATAAATAAATTAACAATAGCACAAATAGATGCATTTAAAATAAACAGTGCTTTTAGATTTTCAGGTAGGTCTAACAGTGACAATTTCCCAAGTGTCTTTCACGCTGGCCCCTGAAAAGTGAAATTTTTATAAAAGCTGAATCAGTAGCAAACTACATTTTTGTTGCATTCTTCACACCTTATTTTAAGCGGGGTGTAATAATCAATACGTTTCTTACCCACAGTCCTCTTACACCTGACTTCTCTGATAAGAAACTGTGTCAGGACTGGGCCTGGAGACGGATCTGAGACACATTACGGTGTATCTGTCTGTTTCTCCATCTGCTTCATGGCCCAGTGGAGATGCTCTGCCATTAGACTTCGATGCGATCCTAAGTGAAACATAAACTGCAGTGCATTTTGTTTATACATTCTGCCACGATTCTGTGTGTAGATGCTTTTAAGAACATTCCCCACTGGTGTATTTTTTCTCTTGCATTATTTATAATCTTCTGTTTATGGGGATGTGTTGGAACAGTATGTGCATGTGCTTTACTGCACAGGCTGTTTGTATGAAAATCACAGCAAACATTGACCTGAGATGCAAAAAAAAAAAAAGAATTAGGTCACTTTCACTTTCACTAGTCACACCAATATCAGTCTACTATATAGCCTGCATTTAATAACATTTTTAATTTGATATTAAATTAAATTGAAATATTATCCAATTAAATAAAAAAATGGCTTGGAGCTTTTAAATAAAAACACTACTTTTTTATTTATTTTTATTTTTATTTTAGCATCAACAGTTGAATGTGTGAGCACTGAGCAGTGTCTACATGCGCAGTAATTAATATTCTGTTTGCTGTGATTTTCATACAAACTGCATATCCAGTACAGCACATTGATTAATTAGAAAATGTTTCATATTTTTTATTTGTATTTTTATTTGATTATCACAATACCAAAATTTCAAATTTTTACATTATTTTTTTATTTTTAAATTTAATTTAAATATTAACAAATTTAATTAAAACAATGTCTTGTATTGTTCAAGCAAAGACTTTTCGAGTTTTATTTAATTACCAACTTGGTATCTAAGCATCCACATTTTTTGACATTCCTTCTACCATTACTCGTTTTAAATTAATAGCTGACCAATACTAAATAAATGAATGATTCTGTGCATTAGAAAAATCATTCATTTTTTCTCAATAAAAGTTTCTTGTTGCTGCTAATTGCATTTGTTTTCTCTTGTGCTTTTATCAGATTCTTGAGCGGACCCTCGAGCCAGACAGCTCAGATGAAGAGCCGCCCCCTGTCTACTCACCACCAACATATGACATGCACATATATGACAGGAAATACCCTGATGCTCCTCCTGTTCCTCCACCCAGGTTATAAACATTTTTGAGAGCAATTTTCAAAGAATTACTGAAACATCATGAAAAGTCTTGGAAATGGGGTCATCACAGGTCCTTGTTCATTTTAGTCACGGTTCTCTAAATTGATGCCCCCTGGTGTTCATAAACCATAGTGCAATTCCTGTTGAGCCTTTTGTTTGTGGTTTAATAGCCGAGATGCATGTAATTCCATTTCTCCACAGATGTAATTCTCATTAATTCACAAATGTTTAATGGGTCAGACACATTGCAGGAGCTATAATTGAATAGTCTGATGTGAGCATTGTGAGTATTGAAACAAGTGTCATCGGGCTCTGTTATCTTTCAGATTCGAGGCCCAGCCTCCCCCTGGACACAGGCAAGTCCAAGGTTACAAAAACTGGAACCCACCGTTACTTGGCAATCTGCCTGATGACTTCCTGCGAATTCTGCCCCAACAATTGGACAGTATACAGGTGAGCAATTGTCATGTGATGCAATAATATTTCAAAGTTTGGGGTCAATAAGAAATGTATTTTATTCAGCAAGGATGCGTTAAATTGATCGAAAGTGACCATAAACACATAATGTTACAAAATAATTATATTTCAAAATAAGTGCTGCTCTTTTTAACTTTATATTCATAAGAGAATCCTGGAAAAAATATTTTCCACAAAAATATTAAGCAGCACAACTGTTTTCAACATTCATAATAATAAGATATGTTTCTTTTGCATCAAATCAGAATATTGGAATGATTTCTGAGGGATCTTGTGACACTGACGAGGAGATGCTGAAAAATCAGCTTTGCGTCACATGAATAAATTAGAATATTATAATAAAATGGAATAATCGGATTTTAAATAATAGAAAATAGTTATTTTTAATTGTAATAATACTACTGTTTTTTTTTATCAACACTAAGGACTATAACGATAACAATAAAGATATCGCCCTAATAATCATTCTAAATATAACAGAAAAGCAGAGTCCACACCGCAACTATAATGATAACGGCACAGATCAATTATATCATTGGAATAATTTTCTGAAGGTTTTTTCCAGCTGATTAACGTTAAAAACATTGACAACCAATCAGAATCCATCCTGCTTTAAAGAGCACGAGCATTTAAAGCAGCAGATGTCAAAACTGCTGTGCACATTTAAAATAAACAGAACGATATCGTCCGCTGGTGTGGATGCTAATATATTTATTGTTATAGTTATCCTTCTTGGTGTGAATGGCCCTTTAGTTAGAGACATTGAAAAACATTTTAAAAAAATCTTACTTACCTTAAACTTTTGAACGGTAATGTATCGTAGACTAAACTAGAGTATCACACTGCCTTTAACACTTTTCCTTTTTGTTTAAGGATTAAAGCAGTTATCTCAGTTATCTAGCACAAACTCTGATTCCAAGCAGTTTTTTTTTTTTTCAAGTGCCCTCTGGGCTTGATGCACAAAAAACTTGGCCTTTTGATTTTCCTTCAGCTCTTTTGCTATTCAACTATATTAAAAAAACATTAATAGTTCAGAAACATCTTTAGAGGTGCAGAGGTTTGGTCATTAAAACATGATAATGCAATGCAGAAGTGCCGCAGGGAGGCCATTGTGTAGTTGCTTTTAAGCTCTTATTGCCATATCATGCTCTCTGAATGGCTAGACCAACTATAATGGTGTCCTTGATCCATTGTACATATACAGTTGTCCTGCATATGATGAATGTTCAAACATAAAGCAATGTATTTGATATTCACTATGACAGCATGACATTCTCATGTTATTAAAGTTCTCACTTAAACAGTGTGTGTTTTTAGTAGTTTTTAGTGAATCTTCTCTCAACACGTCTGGGTCATATTTCATCTAAAAATAAACAGAAATATAGGAATAACAAAACAGCCTGTTTTTAAGCATATTTTCCTCCCTTTAACAATTCTCACTGACATTACCATACAAAAAGTGTTATTTAATTTATAAAGAATTTCTTCATCAAAACGTATATAAAATGAATTTTATTATGTAATAAGACTAATAAAAATCTGAAATATGGTAATGCAAATTTTCGTGGAAAATGTGCTTATGATAATAATTGAAACGATGCAAGAAATGTGAATATAGTTGAACAATAGGCTTAATTTACTATATGCAAAACCATTTTTCTTAGGATTTGAGGTTGATATCATTATTAATATAAAATTATTTAAATGTGCGTGTGTATGTGTGTGTATATTTGGTTACACTTTATTTGAAGGTATCCTTGTTACAGTGTAACTAAATACTACATGTACGTACTATAGGGTTAGGATTAGGGTTTGTTTTATGGTTAGTGGGTTGCATGTAATTCTGCATAATTTAAAGTTATTACGATAGTAACTACATTTAACACACACGTAACAACAAGGACACTTAAATAAAAAATTTACCAAATATTTTTATATGTTTGATGAAACTGTGAGATGGAGAACTGGAATTTTTTCTTAAACTGATATTAAAATTTTAACCTAGTAGACTATTCTTTTTAGATGTTTTCAGAATCTGTTTATCTACAACATTTTACTACAGAGAACTGCACTAAAACAACCCTGTTTTAAAGTTTACCCGTTCTTTTAGATTTTAATGAAAGCGAGTCTGATTTTCTTACATATTCCGTACCCTTCAATATTCTCCAGGGCTCTCAGAGTAGCATCTCCATGCCCTCTTCCTCCTCCTCCTCCTCCTCAGTACCCCAGAAGGACCCAACTGTGGCGGCCGCCACAGGAACAGGTGGAGCTTCAGAGCAGGAACGCAAACTGAAGCAATATTTGGAGGATGAGCGTATCGCTCTCTTCCTGCAGAACGAGGAGTTCATGAAAGAGCTGCAGAGGAACCGAGAGTTCCTCGTTGCGTTGGAAAGAGGTAGGAAGACACCCGCCCACACGCTAAATGGGACAATGAGCAGTTTCTGACATAATCCACTTCCCTTCCTTTCACAGTTCCACCTACACAAATCCTAAAGAGTGAATTCTTATGCAAATTTACTCAGCACAGGCTGTGAACGTTGATGGTTTTGGTTTTTCTCCAAGGCCATTAGCAGTGTCTATTCCTCACAGCAAGATTTTGTTATGCTTAGTCATACACATTTTGTGCTTTTCCACACAGATTGTTTGATTTACCTTGACCCTATGAGCGGTCCTCGTTGGATGACTTCATATCCTTGTTGAATGCAGAATGTCAAAGACTTCCATAACACCTGCCTTCTATGTTTTAGATCGATTAAAATACGAGTCAAAGAAATCCAAATCCAGTCATTCATCAGCTAGCATGGAGAACTCCACAGGTAGATATCATTCACCTGAACTGTGGTTGTGCATTTTTGCGTGTGTGAGCATGTACATCACGCTGTGTCTGTGTGAGGGTTGATTTGTGAAGGACTACACACCTGCGCGCATACCTTTGGACTGAACACGTGAGGCGCCTGTGCGTGCCGTCTGCGTTTTGGCGGGTTTGCATTTTTGAGGTTTGCGCAGAGATAATGGATAATCGTTTGCACCCTTGAACCTATTTCAGGGAGTGCGTTCTCGAGACACCAGGCACTGTTTTGTGCGGATGGCCGGCCGGAGTGCGTTAAGAGTTTTTCTGTTAGAACGGTGTCGTGTTAGCGGACCCTAAGTTAATAACTTATGATCTTCGCAATGGAAGTGAATCAAAACTAAATTTAGCTGGACAATAACTTTATCCTCATGCTGTTGTAAAGCCTAAACAATCTGTTACAGTAATTTCTATTATAACTGTAAAGCTGCTTTGAAACAATCCATACTGTTAAAAGGTGACTTGACTTGACTTGTGTATAAGCATAAAGTTCACTAGTTGGCTCTCTCATGTTTTTACTCGCGGACGTCTGACCTTGACGGACTGAACAGAAGAAATTAACCAAAGAAGATTTCCACACAGAAGTCGTCAGAGCCACAGACCACACCTACCTATTATGTAATGGGACGACTAATGGTAGTTTAAGGTGTTTACCAGCCAGAGCGAACTTTTCGCTTCGAAGTTCGCTTTTGCAAGCTGTTTCAAACTGCAGAAACAAACTTCAATTTCACATTTTCCCTTTTCAAAACCCCTAAATTCTCAATAGTAAAAGCACCACTATTACAGTTATTCATATTAAAGGGTAGAAAGTGTCAAATGAAAAATGTAACCCATTTTGCAACATTTTTGTTGTAGACATCAAGATGCTTTACTTTTTTTTCCTGAAACACAGGTGACCACTATGCTTCCGGATCTGTAGAGGCCTGCACAGCAGTCTCAGATGATGCTCTGTTCAGAGACAAGCTAAAGCACATGGGGAAATGTAAGGGTCTTACCTAAAACACCCCAGTTCACCTGAAAATAATTGTTTATTAAAGATTTTACTTGTTGGACATTAACATTTCTGTTGAATTGTAACATTTCTGCATTCTCATCTGCAGCAACCAGGAAGAAGCTGTTTGAAATTGCCAGAGGGTTCTCAGACAAGACGAAGCGGAGGAAGTCTAAAAGAAGAACGTTGCTACGGCATCATTCGTATCCTTCAAAATGCGCCAGAACCACTTTAGCTTAAATCAAACAGTAGGAGTGTAAATAAGAAAGTACTATGTGAAATCAGAATACTTTTAGAGCAAGCTTGAAATAGAGAATATGAAATTCCTCAAAAATTAGGAAACTAGAGGAATATGTTTAGAGATATAGACTGAGTTATGATGCTGTGTTTTTAATGTTGAACTCAGTGGCTCCCCTGTTTTGTGTTCATCGACTTCCCCAACAAATGCTATTTATGGTTCTTGGCAAAGTAACTTTGGTTCAGTTTAGTTGAGTAAATTTAGTGTCGACTGTTTACTTTGACTGCTCTCAGATTGGGCACAGCCAACTCCACTGCCAACCTCCTAGACGATGTGGAAGGAAACCCATGTGGTAAGACTGTCTCTCCAATTTTCCAAGCCAATTTTTCTTAATGTCTGATTTACTCTTCCCGCCATTGACAGAATTTTCTGGCAATCTACAGAGCTGCCAACTCTCACGCATTGGCCGTGAGACACACGCATTTGATTGGTTTCACACGCTCACACGCCACACCCCCGATTTCTCACGCTGAAGTGTCAACCTGGTCGGTCAAATGCCTGGAAGATGAGTTTATCTATATATCTCCCCGTTGAGCCACTCGTGATCGACTAGTTATGCCGCAAATTAGTTAAAATCTCCTGTAATCTAGAGCGAGCGCGCACGCTAGACAGAGATTGTGCTCCAAACCACGTAACGCGTGTGCACGGGAAAGAGGGAAAGCGAGCGAGAGACCATCCAAGCTATGAATCTATATTTTCACTGTTATACAGTAGAAGGCGCTATTACCCATCTTTTGAAATAGTACAGAATCTCCAGATCAAAACAGGCGAAAGTAGTACTGTAGAGACAAGTAATAGAAGCATTGCTTATGCACATGTTGTAGTCTTTGAAAAAAAAATCTAATTCTTTTGTTCAAATTGTTGCTTTTTTTATGTAGCAAATTAGCTCAAGGGAAATATGAATACAACTCGTTATAATTAATTATAAATATTTGGATCAGTTGATAGGATTAACTTGATGTAGCAGAATTAATACCACAATAAATTAACCTCATACATTAATACAGTTTAGCAATGGAAAGAGAGCTGAAGCAGAATACAGGAAAGCGAGAAGTTATAGCATTGTTTGAAATTCAGCAGATCAACAGCTTAGAGCAAACCATTTCTAGTCTAACACATCCTTCTTTAAAAGGGGTAGGGAATAGGGATAGGTAATGTATCAAATAATTAGAATAAGTTTGATACTTGCATTTTTCTGGGATTGCCCTTTTGAATAAAAGTGTCCTGGTGCAATTTGTTGAGGCTCCAGTTGATCTTTGCTGATGTGGTCTTGACGAGAGAGAACCAGTTGGAGTCAGAGGATCTTTGGTGAATGAAAAGACAAGGCCACTGGCACAACTTTGAAATAAATCTGTATCTATATGTCTGTCTGTCTATCTATCTATCTATCTATCTATCTATCTATCTATCTATCTATCTATCTATCTATCTACCTGTCTATTTGTCTGTCTGTCTGTCTGTCTGTCTGTCTTTAATTTAATAATTTAATGAGGCCATATTGTGAATTCAGTTAATTGTACAGTCCTGCTTTGGACTACATTTATTTGTGATGCCGGGGTGTGTCTTTCTAATCTAGATGAAGAAAGTCAGCTCAGACGATTGGCTGCACAGGAAGAGGAGGAGCCACGTAAGGAACCACTATCATGGTGAGTGGCTCATGCAGTGAGATTCTTCACTTTCCTTTTGTGTCTTTTTTTGTATTTTCTAAACCCAACAACAGGGGCTTCAGTGCTACTGATTAATCATCTCAGAGATCATTTTCAAATTCGTTCCACTAGTATAATAATCCTGCAACTGACATAGATATCGAGTAGCAATTAACCTCTTGCAAATTTCATTCCAGATCCCTCCTCTGTGCTCTTGGGAAATTAGGATTTCCATGGTGACCTCAGAATGACCCATGGCTGATAGCTCCTTATCTCAGCGGCTCCAGTGCAGGCAATCCCAGACTCGAGAGGAACAGCCCAGGCAGGACTGTATGCTCATTTTGTAGCAGCCTTTTGCAAGCCTAAGATTATTGTTACCTACATTTGATTACTATTATAATTATTGTATTGTAACTGTTTGTTAATATTTGGTTTCATATGTAAAACTCAACAGCTATAGTACTGATTTCCTATGTCTTTTTCTTTTGTATCCCTAATCATCTGAAAAGAAATTCCCTTTTATGTTTGTTTAAAAATATCAGTTACCTGAGGAGTTTCTTTCCCCATTTAAGTTTGATTTGACTTGCCACCATTAGAAAAGAGGCAAATATTTGATTTAGTACTGTCCAGAAGTGACACAACTAACTGTCAGTTGTTTCAGTGCATTAGTATATAACTATTTCTTTATTTTCAATGAACCCTGCCACTCTCAGTCTAATCTGCACATTAAACATCAACAGTATTTCCTCAAAGAATGTACCCAGACTGTCACGTTTATTACTCAAAGGGTTCGGGTTTTCTTAGGGGTTTGTTTTCTCCTTTCTTAATCATTGCTATTAAGGAAAAAACAATATTCAGGTCACCATTTAGTGTGGTGTGATTTAAGGGTGCTGAATAGTCCATTTCCATGGCCCATTTTTACTTTTTTCATACAATTAAATCAATACAGAGTTCATTTAGATGAGTTGACCTCTCTTAAGGGGTCTCCGGCCAAGAAAGGCAATGCACACTGTCAATGCCAAAATTCGATTTGAGTAATTTTTACAGAAAAAGAGAAAGGGGAATCGCAGATCAACCAAAAAGTTAGCCTGCTTCTCATGTTTGCACTGCCATATCTGTTTTATAAAATATTTGAATGCTTCTTTTTTTTTTCAATTGTTTCTTTGTGAAAAGTGATTCGATTTGTTTGTTTGAGCCGGTATAGTTGCCATCTGAACATCTGTGTTTTTTTTTTTTTGTTATCTTTGAACAGGACAAGCGGAGAAAATTTGTAATGATTCTGTCTTTGAACCAACCAAAACGCTGCTGTGTGCTTTGTTTTTTCTTGCAAATCACACTGAATGATTTACCCTAACGCTGTGCTTCCAGTAGGTCACGTGACTATGTCATAAGGTCAGAGGTCTAACTGTGATCCACCAATAAGAATGTGCCATTGTTCCTTTTAGTGTTGTGCATCCCAGTATTGATTCAGTGTAAAGTAGCCTATTGGAGGACACTGTGTGACATTTATGATGTTGGTTTGTGTTTTATCTATGTCAGATTGTCCAACTGGTAAATGTGGTAGTTTGAAACCACCTAGTCACAGTATTATATGTGCTGAAGCACACTTATTGGATTCCACCATGGTACTGATACACTTCAAGCTCCTGAAATGGCCATTAAAACTTGCTATTTTTTTTAAAGGGCATTATGTACAGTATATGAAGTCATGATCATGTTCATGTCACATATGTGATTATATGATTTTTGCCATTATTACAGATTATATAGGTATCCATAGGCATCATCAATGACGTATATTTCACATACAGTAATTATATGTTCTGTGAAGTGTAATAGCCTTTATGAAATGTGCCAGTGCCATGCATATTTGCATGATGTTTTTATTTATTTATTTTTTAGATCTTTATGGATGGCACAGAGCAACAAGTCAGTAATTAGTTTTGAAAATGATGTGAATTGAAAGAACAAAGGTTTTGTAAGAGCAAAACCTTGTTGAGAGTAGCAGCGCATACCACAGAGCCCACGTTCCCAACGTTGTCGTCTGCGATTTAGGGCAGGACTGTGTGATATTTTCCCTTCCATCCTGCTTTTTAAAATATTTTATCCTCTCAGGGAACTTGCTCTCATTTCACTTTCTGCTAAAAGCACAACTAAAACTGAAAACTTCATAGCGCAGATGCTTCATTGATATGCAAGGTAGCGCCGTCTGTTTACTCGTCATGAGGTTGATATGAACTATTCAAGGACTGTGTGGATGATCTGCTTCCGTATGTAGCCAAGTTCCTTTTCTTGATCACGTGTCCTTGCGTGTTTACCTGAAATGTTTTCAAGATCTACTTCTTCATCTTCTGTCTTTATATGGGAGAGATAGAGGAAGATGTGTTCAGAGAGTGTTGTGTGCGAGCCATGTGATTTTAAGTGGCTCTTAACAATTAGTGGAATGTAATATTTATACTGTATTAGAAGGAAACAACTGAAAATAGTAATTGGCAATTTTTTTAACATAAAATATTTGATCTTGCAATTATTTTTTTCGGTCCCATTTATTTTGAAGAATATTATTCTCACCAAATTAAGTTGCTTCTTCCTCTATTTGTCCAAAATAAATGTGATTGTCCCGCATCACATCATTCACTTAAGACTATTTCAAGCTCTGGACTTTTCTTGCAATCCAGATGTTTATTAGCTATTGGAATAAATAATAAAATTGTTGTACTCTGTGTGATCACCCCCCACACACACACACACACACACACACACAAAAAGTCAAGTATTCAACCCCGTTCTATATAACTGCAACCAGTAGATGGCAGTACACAGTCCCTTATCATGAGTTTGTTTTTTCTCTTTGCTGCATTTTTAGGTTTAATTTACATAAATTTTTCTTTTAAATTATTTACCATTCTTGGTTTATTACTTATGGCAGACCACCCAGTTAAATGACCTTCCCTTGACCAACTTTCTGTGAACTGGTATTTCTTGGAATTACTAGGCAGAGCCCTATCCAACAACTCCACGGTCACGGCTCCATCAGTTATCAGCCAAAGACTAAATAAAAACATTCCATTATCAAGCATCAAGTGAGCTAACATGGCAGGAAAAACAAAGATTAACAAAACTTCCTGTATCTAACACACTTATCTGTTTGACACACTAAGTTAACCCTTAAAGGAACAGTTCACTTAAAATGACAATTCTGTCATAATTTACTCACCCTCAAGTTGTTTCAAACATGCAGTGTTGAGCATGTTACTTAAAAAAAGTAATTAGTTATAGTTACTAGTTACTTCTCCCAAATAGTAACTGAGTTAGTAACTGAGTTACATCATTATAAAAGTAACTAATTACCAGAGAAAGTAACTATTGTGTTACTTTAAAAAAAAATAAAAAAAAATAGGCCTATCAAATAATTTGGATGCCCCCAGTATTACATATGTTAAATTAATGAAATGGACACATAATAGTGTAGATTAGTGTTCAATGTTTTATAATAATAATTTATTCTATTGCTGCATGTGGGACAATGTGAGAGACGCCTATTAAATTCAATATATTATTCTAAATATTAGCATTACTATAGTAGAACAATAAAACATTATAGATGGTTTATACTTAATATCGCAGAATCGCACAGACCCCAACTGGCCAACAAATAAGTTTAAAAATAAATTATGCTTCTTAAGAAATGTACCAAAAATGAATAAATAATAATAAAAAATATACATACTCTTTGTGCATATTAAAATGATAAAACTGTTACACAACTTCACAACTAGACATACTGTAGCCTAAGTATTTTCTTCCTAACAAAAGTAAACAGTTTAACAAGTGCTCTCTCAATATAATAGCCAGTGGCGTCATGCCCATTCAAAGTGAGGGGGCACGTGCCCCCTCAGATTTTTCCTTCCTAGGGTGACCAGAAGTCCCGAAAAATTCGGGACAGTCCCGAAATCTAAGCTGTTGTCCCGAATCCCGAAACCGGCCTTAATTGTCCCGAAAATTATACTAAAGCAAAATCTTGATATAAAATATTAAAAACTGTCCGTGGAAGTTGAGTCGTCCTGCAGCCAGCCCCTTCCAATTGCAGCAGCCGCAGCCGCAGCCGCGAGGACAGTGAATGTGCAGGCAGCCAGTCTAAACTTTAGTTTTTTTTACGCGCGTCATTTGCTCTTGACGCGCGAATGGATTCAAAGTGTTCACGCGTAGGCTATAACTAGACTATGGAAAGCCGTTAGGGCCAAAAACACGCGAATTTTAACGCGTATTTCACGCGTATTTCACGCGTAAAATACGTGTATTTTACGCGTGAAATACGCGTTGATTATGTCACGCATGGTGTCCGTAAGAGACTTGGTGAAAATATGTTGGAAATTTGAGAGTAACCTGTTTATTTGTCACCCCAACAACTCAGTTATTAACAAGGATTGAATGGTTGTACTTAGTTGTGGGTGTATTAGTGTGTGGTTTTCTATAGAAACAGAAAATGCAGAGTAAATATTCTAACATTAAATATTAGAGACAACACACTGACAACATACATTATTATACTTCATCTCATTAAACAACAAATTAAACCCCATGTAGCCTACTATTTAAATCGATTGCTGGACGTCGTAATGTTATTGTAGCATAAATCTGATTTAGCATTTTATTAGCAACCCCCACCCCACCTGTTCCACCCACTTTTTAAAACAAAGTTACGTCACTGATTTTTATGTTTATATGTTTACTTAAATGTTATATGGTGTTTTACCAAAGTGTCTAATCATTTTTACAGATAAATTGCTTTAATACCAATTACCAAGGTGACCTGTAAAATACTTCTGCTGTCAGGAAAGCCAAATCAAGTTCTTATACCTGTCCTGACCTGAGCACAAGCTCCCATTCTAATCCTGAAAGCCTTAAATAACATATTTAAATACTTTAAGTCATTAAATTCCTTTAAATTGATAATATCACCTGTATACCTAATTACAGTTTGTCTGAGTGCCCAATTTCAGAACAAAAAGGTTTGAAAAAGCGCCCCCTGCTTGCTATAGCTGTAAATGTAAGCACAACAAAAGCTCACGTTGTTTTCCAAAGACAGATATTGATTACAGTGGTCTGTATCTTAAACCTGCAGTGATCATAAACCTGCATTGGTTACCTCCACTGTAACTGATTTCCCCACACACGTTAATGCTTTGATGTTAAAGCTAGAATGTCCACTAATGTGTTTATTTACAAAAAGGCATGAGTGGAGAAAAACAAGTTAATTTTATTTTTATCTAAATTGTCATAAAATTAATTGTCATAAAAAAAATTAATTGTCATAAAACTGCTATTTAAATATATTATTCATATAGGTTATACAAAAAACCTGAATAAGCTGATCCATAGAATGTAAACTATGGAGACTATGTAAGACTATAGCCTAGTCTTTGAAAGGTACACCCCTCTAAGCTCACACAAATGGTTAGACCCAAGTCTTCAGCAGCCAATGACACGGACCCGTTCATACTGATTTTTAACGCGTATTTCACGCGTATTTTACGTGTAAAATACACGTAAAATACGCGTATTTTACACGTGAAATACGCGTTGATTATGTCACGCGTATTTCACGCGTATTTCACGTGTATTTTACACGTGAAATACGCGTGAAATACGCGTGACATAATCAACGCGTATTTCACGCGTAAAATACACGTATTTTACGCGTGAAATACGCGTGAAATACGCGTTAAAATTCGCGTGTTTTTGGCCCTAACGGCTTTCCATAGACCGCAGCATTAAAGTAGTGATTGATTGGTCGCGTCACTGTGTGCAAAAAAAAACTTCGTCCGGGCCTTATAATGTCTGATGTCGGGTTAGGCCTACACAAAGCAAATCATCTACAAAATTATTTAGTTTTCCTATTTAATGACCGACAATTTAGTTGTAATAATAATTTTGCCATGAGGCTTATTTGCGTTAGGCTATAACCTGAAAGGTCTGATTTAGCCTACACACTGTTACAACAGTAACACATTTTTTTTCACAATGACATTTGAGTTCATGATTTTAATGGGTTTTTTTTTTGGCAGACTAAAGACTAATGACAGACTTTGATCTTTGAATTAAAAAATATGTTTGGTTCAGGTTTGAAATTCATTATCTTTTAATGTAGTCTAATATCATAGTAGGACTACCCCCCAAATCCCTACAGATTATTACATTATTACTACTGTTATACAGATCGCTATACATATTGCATTTGATTTGATTACTTTTTTACATTTCTGTCAAATATTAACCATTTTCAAATAAACGGGGTAGTGTTAACCTTATTCAGCACTGAAATCTGTCAAACTTCTTTCAAAGTCCTTCATCAGATATTAATATTAAAATAACTTAATTTCAGAGCACCACAAAGTCAGACCTCAGCACCTTTATGTAGGCTACCTTTAATGTAAGATCGTTCTTAGGTCACATACCAATTTAAACATAACATAAAAACTGCAATGGTACTGTTTTTAAAATCATGTGTAGTAGGCCTAAGTGCACAGTAAGTGTGTGTGTAAACATGCTTTAATGAAGTAGACTTCAAAAGCTTTTGAATTTGAGCTTACAGTTCTTTCATCAACCTGTCTTTTACATAAACTTACAAAATAGATACTTTAACTTAGTCCTCAGATAGAGGAGGGTTGCTGCTAGCTCCGTTAAGGTATTTCTGTCCCTCCCAAACTGCATTGAAATGGTATGTTTAGCAGCCAGAATTAAAAAAAATTCAGGGGGAGAAACCCCCTGACCCCTTCTAACATGATCCATATCACCCGTCAGAAAACAATTGCAACGTCTCAGATTGTGCCCCCCCAGAATTTTGGCTTGCATGACGCCCCTGATAATAGCCTACTGAACAATTTACAAAAAAAATTTATAATACTAAAATATAATATTTTGGGGGTTTATTTTTATAACCTATAGCGAACGTCATCATCAGAGGTTATTTAAGCCAAATTATAGACATTTTGCCGCACGTGTTTACAACCGGTCAAACAAAGATGTTTTCTGTGAATGTTCCCTGCAGGTTATTTTCGGGTTTATTTTATGACCTAAACAGAACGTTCCCTGAAGGTAATTTTTTAGATTTTATTTGTATAACCATGTAAATTAATTAACGTTGCAGATATGTGTCATTTATTTATAAACAAACTATATAATGCTCGGACACCCTCGGTCTCTCTTGCGCAACTGTTGAGCGCGCTCTCGGACACATTCGGTCTCTCTCGCGCATTGAGCGCGCTCGTGCCGTTCGCTTCGCTTTTGTCCACTCCGGTGTTGTGCCGAATTTCGACCCCCTGCCAAATTATTACCCCCCTCGTTGAAGTCAGTACCTGATTGCCTAATCCCAACCCCGCCCCTAATCCTAACCCCTCCCCCACAACTAATCCTAAACCTACCAAGTAGGGGGGTAATAATTTGGCGGGGGTCGAAATTCGGCACAACACCGGCACCTCATAAACACACACACACACACACACACCAGAGAAAAAAACTTTGCAGGTCCTATGGCGGAGAGAGAGCCTACTCGGATGAAAACCGCTTCAGTGAGTTCAATTATAGTAACGCCACATTTTTTTTGTCAGTAACGGTAACTGCGTTGTAACGGGGGAAACAGTAATTCGTTTGATTAACTTACTCGTTACTGAAAAAGATAACGCCGTTTATTTATAACGCCGTTATTCCCATCACTGCAAACATGTATGAATTTCTTTCTTTAGCTTGAACACAAAGGAAGATATTTTGAAGAATGTCGGTAACCAGACAGTTGTATATTGACTTCCGTAGGTGTTAGTGAAAGTTCTAGTAAACTGAGACGCTTACACGGATGTCATATTTTCTAGTTCGTTTACTTCAGAAAAACAACGACTGGAGTAGTTGACAAGGCTGAATCAATAACGATATCAGCGTAGGCTACTTAGTAGGCCTATGTAAAGGCTACTTGAAGTATATCAGGGTGGGGTGCACATCATTGCAATCTTTCAAAATAAACACAAAACGGAATAAAGTGTTTTTCCTCATTATTTACACTTGGCATCATATATGTGTCTATTCAGGAAAAATTAAATAATTATTCAACAACAAAAGTTACATCAGGAGGAAAAAAATACTAAGTCAATGGGGTCCATCAACTGTATGGTTACCGACATTCTTCGAAATATCTTCTTTTGTGTTTAAGCAGAGAGAAATTCATACATGTTGAAACAACTTGAGGGACCTTGACAGAATTGTCATTTTTAAGTGAACTGGCTATTCCTTTGAGACATTTCCTTCTTAAACACATAACAATCTGGCAAGAAATTAACATGCACTTCTCTTGAATCATTTGGTATTAATCCAAAACTCTTTGTCAATAATCATCCTTGCATACTGACTTTTTGATAAACAAGTCCAATAGCTTTAACCACATAAAGATAAACAAGGAGAACAGACAGAACTGATTGCATTCATCATAGATTATCACAACATTATACATCATACATTATTATTGTCACAGCTGTGCTGAATGTTCTGTCTCATGTATTCAAGTCCTTGATATAAATTAAACAGAAGAAAGATTATTTGATGTACTAACCATTTTATAAAAGCATTGAAGGTTCCCCCAAAAATGAAAATTCTGTCATAATTTACTAACCCTCAAGTTGTTTCAAACCTATGAGTTTCTTTCTTCTTTTGAACACAAAATAAAGTATTTTGAAGAATGCTGGTAACCAAACAGTTGACAGTGTAGCCTTTGACTTCTTCCAGGTTTGGAACAACTTGAGGGTGAGTAAATATGACAAAATTGGTGAATACCAATCATTAATCTTCCAAACCATTTCTATAGCTTTTGCTGTTTGCATTTGGGTCTTTTTTCAGCTCTTACAACATGTTTTACAGGAACCACCTGAGCCTCCATCTATTTTGCCTATAGGAACACACTTTCCAAGTTCTCCTGCCGAGGAAAAAAAAGTCACATTTTTGACTTCAGGGATTGCGCAAATGTAGTTTACATCTTTTCTTTGAAGCCAAATACCTACATTTTAGACTTATCGTACCACTTTTTCTTTCAGAATGTTTCAGGTTATTGTATAGGCTTCTAGCAATCTACAGAATGGTGCTGGACTGCTTGTATGTAGCTGGTTTCAACCCCTTCTTAAGAGGTCAAAGCTGTAAAACCTGATTTCTGGCTTTTTTCTTCTATTTCAGGACTTTGTAAGACACGTGGCAACAGCTGACCTTCTTTCTTGTTCGCAGTGTAGAAGTCTCTTTTATGTTAGAGTGCAATATTTTTTTTCCCCACCCATTTTGTTTTGAAGAACATCAGAGTTAAAAACAAAATTGGCTTTGAAACAATTTTAACTCCGAAGTTGCTAGCAAATTTCACAAATAATGACAAAGACGGCAAGTAACACAATTAATTAAATGTGAAATTTTGAAGTATAGGCCTACAGACTGAGTATTTTTTTGTAAAACATACTCCAATAATTTGTATTTTATTTACAACTTTAAAAAATAATATGATAAAATTAAATAATATACATATTGTATGGATTTATTGTAAGAAAAAAATTATAATAGCCTATAGCCCTATATTTATATGCAACCGTACCATTAAGGTGCGATAACATTTATAGGCAACCCTACCATTAAGGTGAAGATAAAATGTGTAGGCCATATAACATGTATATATATATATATGTGTGTGTGTGTGTGTTAATGTATTCTTCAGATAATTAAATACCTTCTAAGGTGTTAAACTGTTGGTAAATTAATCAGTGATTAACATTCAGATTTTTAAAAGTAAAATTCTGAAGAACAATATAATTCTTAATATAACGCTGAAGGCACCTATATTTTCATTGTAACGTTATAGAGAAATACTTTTTTGTTGTAACATTGTAGAGAAATAGGCCTACTTCAACAAGAGTTTCTGATCAACTGAATAATTTATATAAAACATTATATATAAACAAAACTTGCTTTGTTCTCTAGATGCTTACGTGGAATTTATCACAACACGAGCCATTACAGGGACAGTGAATAAATAATAAAAAAATTTTTTACTTTAAATTCCTGAAACCTATCGAGCAATTTCATCACCTATTTTGAGATTATGTTGCTCTTTCAGTTTCAGGGACAAAAATTCACCAACAATGGATTAGCGCTTCATCGTCACACTCCTTATCAGCACGTATTTCACGAATCCATTCCATTCATATTCTCGAGCCAATCAAAGGCCACGCGTAAACGGCTTTGGGCCAATCAGAGAGCGGTGCTCCTCCGTTGCCTCGGCAACTGTTATGACGTCGCTAGAGTATCCCGCCCATCAGTGTGTGTGTGTTCAAAACCTTAGGAGGACGCTCGCAGCCATTACAATACGCTGAACGCGACGCGGTTTAAGGCACTAGTCTATTATTCGCTAATTTTCTTTGTTTAATTGTCAGTTTTATTAAACTCAAGTTGTATTTCAAAGACCATACAATTGTCTATTTTCCACAGTTGTAACGTTATATGTAAATATAGGCAGCGTTGCGTCGACGTGCGACGCGCCGAATTCACTGGAGACACGCGAAAACTGATTATTCCTCTTGTCCCACGCAAACATTTTAACGCCTTTATTTCGTTAACCAAGAAGATTTAGATTGAAGAGACTCGCGTCGATTTAGATGGCAAGCTTCTCAGATTGTGTCAACGAAAATGAAATAGGTGAGTTTTGGGATTCGTTGCCACTGCTTTGAATGGGGGAGGGTACTGATTTAGTTCCGTTAAACGCGTCTTCCTTTTGAAACGTGTGTGTTCCGTATGTATAATATATAATAACTTATATTGCGTAACGTTATATACATTTGTGCAGCTATGAATTGGAGTACTCATTTCAGTGTTTGTGTCGTGTCTAGGCTATATTATACAAACGTATTACGTATAAATGTGACGGAAAAACATTGGCCGTTAGTTTGGATATTTAGTTGTTGTGCGCGTGCTTTCTTGAGCCCAACGTCCACACACCCAGATTGCGTCGAACCCCTCCCCCACCGCCAGACCCTCTGAATGACTCACCACACCAGTGAGTCACCATGAACTGCACGTTTACGTATACACGTTAATAAACTTAACATTTCAGGAGAAATAACAATTGTATGTTACTTGTGTTTTTTAAATTCTAATATCCTCGGCGTAGCGTACTGATTCATATAGTATCTATATTCAATTAGTCAGTGTCACTATTGAGGTAGCTACTAGTTGTTAGTCACTATCCTGGTTAGAGACAAGTAACTATTTTATTGTTGCTGGTAAGAAATTGCTAATGTCACTGAATTCTGCAGGATTTGTGGTTCAGACATTAACTGATTACTAGTACGTTATGCATTGAAATTGTTAAATATTAAAGTACTAGTATCTAATGAAGTTACCAGTGAATTAACTATTGGATTGCTTACTAGATGATACTAGATTAAATCAATGCTAGTAACACAAAAATAAATGCTTCACAACAAAACTTTTATTTGTGTAAAAACGTCCTCTGTTTTTTTAAGTATAATTTAAAGGGATTGTTCGGCCAAAAAATAAAATTCGGTCATCATTTACATTGGCTTTCTTTCTTCTGTGGAGCATAAAAAGATATTTTGCACACAAAAAAAAGTTTTGTTTTTGTCCATACATTGGAAGTCAATGGTAACCAAAACTGTTTGGTTACAAACATATCTTTTGAAAGGCATGCAGGTTTGGAATGACAGGAGGGTAAGTAAATTATGAGAGATTTTTTTGGATGAACTATCCATTTAAACGATTTTATCAATTGAATAGGTTTTTAATTTGCAAAAGTAGGTGAAAATGCAGTTACTAGCTATGAATTTACACATTTGCTGTAACACATTAAACATTCTGGCCTGGTTTCACAGATAGGGCTTAGATTAAGCCAGGATTAGGCCTTCGTTCAATAAGGACATTTGAGTGACTTTTAAAAAAACATTACTGGTGTTCATCTTGAGACAACAATGGCACTAACACATTTAAAGATATATCAGTGCAAGTTGCTTTCAGTTAAACCAGCTCAAACATGTATTTTAGCCTGGGACTGGGTTTAAGCCATGTCTCTGTAACCAGGGGCATGTTTAATTAAAAAGTTTTAAAGGCTTAAAATGTGCTTTCTGTTTTAAAGGCTTAAAATGTGCTTTCTGTTTTAAAGGCTTAAAATGTGCTTTCTGTTAAAGGCTTAAAATGTGCTTTCTGTTGCAACAGGTAAAGCTAAGTTCATCGGGGAACTCATACCTCCAGTTGCTCCCTTTGACCAGAAGTCTGGACGGGAGACTTGGACTGTAGCTTTTGCACCTGATGGTTCTTACTTTGCTTGGTCTCAAGGGCATCGAATAGTGAGACTTGTACCATGGAAAAATTGCTTAGCCAGCTTGTGAGTATACACAATGATCTCTTTGTTTCCCCTCTATGGTGAATTGTTACAATACAGCTTGTTTGTTGATGGACTGACAAAGGCAGTCTACGCGTGTGCTGGTTGTCTGATCTGGTCCTCTGGGCTTTCACATGGTGGCTACACCACAGTGTTTGGTCTTGTTAGCATTCAGTGGCACAGCATAAGTCATCTCACCTTACCCTGTGGATTTAGAGACCACTGTCGAGTGTGCAGCCCTGCCAACCAGCCTTTGTCCTGTTCTGAATGTGAAGTCCTCATTATGAGCTTCACATCATTGCCCTTTGGCTGCATGCCTTGAACTAAGCAATTTTGGGGCTGTTTGTTTACTTTCCTCTTTGCCAATATGAATGTAAATAGAGTTGGCTGCAAAATGATCTATCCTAACTTTTCTTTCCGCAGTCAGTATATTGAATGTTATTCTGCTTTTCTGGGGGGAAAAATATATTGTGCTTTTATTACAGATTTTTTCTGCTCATGCTAGTAGCCTTCATAAAAACACCAAAACTATCATTGCAACATGAACCATGCAGACACAGGGTAAAATTTTAACAGAGAATTTACAATAGTTTGAAGTAAAACAAACAGTTTTTTTTATATTGTCTCCATAAAAGAGAAGTATGGTATTGTAAAACTATTTTCAGTCGTTGTACATTTAAGTGTAGAAACTTTATCAGTAGTTGTACACACAAAGGACATTATGTGGCAGCTGTTAAATTAATTAAGTTTAGTTAGGAATGGTTATTACTGAACTAAAATACAGAAACAATAAGGAGAAATGCATTCGCAGTCAGGGTTATTATAGTTAACTAAAACCGTAAAAAAAAAATGTTAACTGAAATAAAATAAAGAACTTGTTTCAGCTAGTTGCCCAGCCACTAGTGTTGTCACGGTACCAAAATTTCAGTATTCGGTACCAATACCAGTGAAAATCCACGGTTCTCGGTACCAATTTCGGTACCAAAGCTTAATTTAGATCAAATTTACATATATTAAAGTGTATAGCAGTTACAAAGATGGAAACTGTAGCATTAAAAACACTTTACAATAAGATTATATTTGTTAGATAACATTAGATAAAATGACCTAACAATAAACCATAGTTATATACTGTAGCAATTATTCTCCTTGGGGTTAATTTAAAAATATACTAATACATTTTTAAAATCAAAAGTTTTATCTGTTAACATTATTTAATGCACAATGAATGAAGTGAGTGAACAAACATGAACAATCAAGTGTTTGTATTAAATAACATTCACAAACATTCATTCATGTTGTAAAAATATATTGTTCACTCAATGTGTGGATGTTAACACATTAAGTAATGTTAATGAATGGTATCTTATTGTAGTGTTACCAAACTATAGGAGATAAAACATGTTTTATTTGACTAAACTGTAGCCTACTTTTATTTATTCCAAAACTGCCAAAAATGTCACTCTTTCCTGTCTTCAAAACTTGAGAACCCTGTAGCTGATGTCTAATGCAAGGGCTAGAAATCAAATTAATTCTTTGCTGATACTTCCTCGTCATCACGGAGAGCGCAGTTTGCACCGCTTTCTCCTTCTCTCCACAAGCGCTCGCTCTCGCGTGTCTCCGCTATGCAACCATAAACAGTGACGCGCCTGGAAAAACAAGCTCGCACGTCGCTTCTATTATGAGCACGCTTCCCGCGCGCCTACATTTGAAATTTGCACGCGCAAGAAACGTGCTATGTGAACGTGTGATGAACGGCCCTTTATGGCAACGTGACATTAGCCTAATTCAACATATTTCCATATGTGGCTCTTTCCTCCTTTCGTGTCAACAAGTGGATTCAGAGCCAACGCATTAGCAGCGCCGCCGGTCGCCATGTCTCAGTGTTTTTATGAAGAGGACGCAACTCTGCACCTTTCGGACAGCGCATCAAGAACCGGATTAACCCGGTACTCGGTAGGCCTACCTAGAAAAGCTGGTACCGTAACCGTTAATTTTTTTTAGTACCGACTTGGTACCGAAGTACCGAGTTTTTTGACAACACTACCAGCCACCATTGCTCATTTTTGTTTAGTTGAACTTGATGCACTAAAATAAATAAATAAAAAAAGGATAAAAACATGTGGAGTGAGTAATGACAGAATTTTCCTTTTTGAGTGACAGTTCCTTTAATTTTAAAGCAGAAGGAAGCCACTGTGCCATTGAAAACTTGAGTGGACACGTGGCAGGCATTATCTGTTTCAGTTCTGCAGCGCCTGCTTTTTATTCACACAATAACCTCTTGTAATGATTCCAGAACCTCATACTTGATGAGTTTCTTGAACAAGAGCTTGTAGAATTGGGTTAGGGATGTTAAATGGGTCAAAGTTGATGCAACACTTCTGTAATCTCTTAGGCTGCCTGGGAGTTTACTTAGTGTTCAAATATTCCTAAGAGTTAAAATGTTCAGCTTATTTCAACAGACAACGTACTAGGTAACCTTTTTAAGTAAAACATCCTCTTGCTTGTTCTTAATTTATCTAAGAGAATTTATCAGTTTACATCAAGCAGAGGAGACATGATTCTCATACCACACAGCAATATTTTTTTCCTCTTTCCCTAACCCTAGTTCTGTAAGGAAGGAAGATCGGTCGAGCGGTGCAGGTCCTCAACGACTCTCCCGGCAGAACAGTGAGACCAGTCTGCTGCCAGGCGAGCCCAGAGAGCACACTATCGACTGTGGTGACATTGTGTGGGGCCTGGCCTTTGGCTCTTCTGTTCCCGAGAAGCAGAGTCGCTGCGTTAATATCGAATGGCACCGGTTCAAGTTCGGACAGGACCAGTTGCTGCTTGCCACCGGCCTCAACAATGGGCGTATCAAAATCTGGGATGTGTATACAGGTGAGGGTCCTCTCGGGGTGTCAGACTCAAGCATCACAGGCTAATCTAGTTAAAGGAGAACTCCGGCGCAAAATGAACCTTTGGTCTAATTACACATTGTTACCTAGACAACCGTTATCTGAGATTTGTTTTCATGATTATCGAATGTAAATAGTTTTATCTCTAAAAACAGTTTAGCCTATAAAGCTAGTATAACGCTAGTATATTGGGCATAGATCAATGACAAATAAAAATCGCTTGTTAATACCACTAACAAGGCTGAAAATAGCCCCACACTAACACGGTAGCATAATGAGGGTCCCTACCTTCAAACCGAAGCATTGAGAACTTTGTCAGTGTCCAGACTGTATGTATTAAATATCTTCTTATTAAACTGTCTGGACACTGACAAAGTTCTCAATGCTTCGGTTTCAAGGTAGGGACCCTCATTATGCTACCGTGTTAGTGTGGGGCTATTTTGAGCCTTGTTAGTGGTATTAATTTTTTTAATTAATACCACTATTTTTATTTGTCATTGATCTATGCCCAATATACTAGCGTTATACTAGCTTTATAGGCTAAACTGTTTTTAGAGATAAAACTATTTACATTCGATAATCATGAAAACAAATCTCAGATAACGGTTGACTAGGTAACAATGTGTAATTAGACCAAAGGTTCATTTTGCGCCGGAGTTCTCCTTTAATCAGTTTAAAGCAACTGGAAAATTAGTATTAGTGAGGTTGCAGGTCATGCGGTATTAACATTTGTCCAGGTGACTTTGTTTAAACTTTACATAATCCTAACAATTAATACTATTAAACAGAGGTAGGTCAATGTGTTTATATTAATCGAGGAGTTGTTGTTTTTTTATGTTTCTGTGCTGCTGAGTTAATGTGTTTTAGAAATCATAGTCCACCCATTGTGTCCTCTCTTAACACTTCTCTATGGCCGCTTCCTGTTTTTAATTTTCCCAACAGATGCGTCTGTGCGCACTTGTGTGTACGAGAGAGGAGGTGGTGGTTATATAAGCTGTTGACATGATCTTAATCGCACTTCCATCAATGTTTTCCAAATGTGTCTCTTGTATACACCTACTGACAATTCTGTTTTGTATTTTTAGTACATATTTGCTCAACCTTTGAGGTGCGCTCTCCCTTTCATAATACATCTCTCTACTTTATGAACCTTTGAACCGCTTCGGCATTCGTTCCTTGGCCACTGAGGTTCTGCTTTTGTGCCTCTGATCAGTTTTCACAGTTCTAATGATCATAACGTGTAAATCTGCTATCGGAAAACCTAAAACTAAGAGGTAGTTGTTGACTTCAGAAAAAACTGGCAGCTCTTCGAAGTTATATAATTAATTTTCACTCAGCTGCAAAATGTATTAATAGTGGGCAGGTCCTGTACAGACATTGCCATTGGTTGTTCTGAGGGCATCAAGATGTTTTCTTCAGTGGATGACTCCACCTCCCTTCTAACTAAAACAGCAATGCCATAATTTACCCAGCAGACTTGCTCTTTTCAGGGTCAGAGACTCCTCCTCCAACAGCCTTTATATTTTTTTTCCCCCTTTTTGAAAACATGCTGGAAATCTGATAGTAGTGTTTCCTAAAGTATCTCAACTGAATTTGTGCCATATATACCCGTCATTCACATAGCTAAGTGAATGCCTGTTATCACGTTTGACAGGTTGCAAATAGGCCCTGTTACTAAGCCCTAATCATATTTCCAGAAATACATGTGAAAGATTTTTCTGTTACTGTAGGTGAAACTAATTGTAGGGATTTAATGTGGCTTAGCCTGGCAGGTGTCAGTGATTGTACTTCAATATGCCTCAAAGCAATTCAATACTGTTCACAAAGAAAGAGCTTAATCAAGTGTATAACCTACTGTGTTTCTGAGATGCCTTGGGAAATGCCTTTTTGACACCTGCTTATGCTTAATAAGTGTAAACCCACAAGCTTAATCCTTCTCTCTGATTCTTAAGACAAAACATTTTCTAAAAAGTGAAATGAAATGTGTGTGAAATGCAGCTCTCAAGGTATTGATGCAACATTGATGCAGTTTAAATCGATTAGCCTATACTTTGTGCTTTAGTGTTTATCCTCAGTTTTGTTTTCTTGTGTACAGGAAAGCTATTGCTGAACCTGATGGACCACACAGACATTGTGCGGGACCTGACGTTTGCCCCAGATGGGAGTTTAGTGCTGGTTTCTGCATCGAGAGACAAGACCCTACGCGTGTGGGACCTCAAAGATGACGGTGAGGAACAAATGTTGATTTTTGTATGAGTAATTTGGCACATTGGAGTAATTTGTACTCCAATTTTTTTTTAAAGTTCTTTACATATGAATATTAACATGCTACGGCTATATGGTGTGTAACCCTCCAAACTGAAAAGTCTTTGCAGTAGAAGTTTCCTGCACTGCAGCCTGCTTTGTTTTTATTTTCATCTAATCTTCATGGAGTCCATCACACATACTTGCTCAAGTCTGCATGTGCACGCACACACTCAAAGATTCTGGTACTTGGGTTGAATGGATAATAATTAGATGCCAAGCCCAAAGGAATGTTTGCTGATGTTTTCTCTTTCTTGCAAAATCCTAGGACAAACTTGCTTTTATAATTAGATCAAATGAATCTTATTTATGTGCTGGAAACTGAGAGATAAAATGGAGCTCACTGCATTTGCAAACAGTTTTTTCTTTAACTAATCATGAAGGAATGTTGGCCAGAGTTCAGCTTAATTTCCTCTGGTCTCAAAGTGGACACCATTGAGATTGTAGCTAAGAAATTCAGCTACTAGCTAAAGTATATTTGTTTTATTGTTCCTTAGGCATCAACATAGTTTATATATTGTATTATATAATATTGTACTGAGATGCAGGAAAGGATTACTTCTGCAGTATTTGTAGGAAGCTTATCTTTAAATGTAACAAAGTATTCTTAACATTCTTGTTTTTTGCTATGAAATGATTTGATAACCAACTAAAAATTTTAACAGAAAGCTAGCTAAAGCTATTGCTATACCCTAAACAATCTAAATTGTTTGTCTAATAGGTAACATGGTGAAAGTACTCCGTGGTCATCAAAACTGGGTCTACTGCAGTGCTTTCTCACCTGATTCATCGGTCCTTTGTTCCGTAGGCGCAGGCAAAGCGGTATGTTTTGCAGTTCTTTCCTCCTCTTTATTACCTGTTTGGTGTGTTTCTCTCTGTTAATAGTTCTAAGACCAATTAATGAGTGCTAAATGAATCTTTATATCATCATAATGCTCAGTGCCATAACCTGCTTCTATAAACCCTGCTTATTTTGATTTCTGGTTTGTTGTTCAAACAAATGGGTGCCTGATTATTATGCACATGTTGATAGAAATGCAAAAAGCTCACAATTCTCCTCCATTATTCTATTAATAACATGCTAAGACATGCACGATATACAGTCCTTTTATAAAAAAAAAACAATTTGAATCATATATAATGACCCTCGACAGTAGTAATGATTTTTCCCATGTACATAGTAATTTTAACTCTGGTATCAACTGGCATCAAGAACTTTACAAGCGCTTAAAAGTGTGGGGTCAGTAAAAAAAAATGTTTACTTTTATTCGGCAAGATGCATTAAATTGTGACAGTAAAGATAAAGTGACACAAAAGACTGGATTAATGGTGCTGAAAATTCAGCTTTGCCATCAAAGGAATAAAATGGATTTTAAGATGTATTAATATAGAAGAGATTTTAATTATAAATAAATATTTTTTTATCAAATAAATGCAGCCTTGGTGAGCATAAGTACGGAGCCCCTAAAGGGACTTATATACAGACTTTCACGTGCTCACAAGAAACTATCGCGTGCTCATAGTTTTAACACGAAAGTTTCTCGTGTTGGGGACATAGTTGGACATAGTTGTCATTCTGGTTGCATGTGAAAGCCCTTAGGGCACAACAAGCAAAGTTTTCTAGCCGTCAGTAAGACGTCTCTGAAACCAGAACCAGTCTTTCTGGATCCTATCTAACTCTCCTCCCATGAACAGGCTGCAGTGGTTGAACTTTACGGTTGTGTGTGTCCATAAGTGTCTTGCTTTCCCTGTCCCAGGTGGTGGCAGAGCTCTGTGTTTGAGTGATTTTGAGGGAAGTGCCGCGCTGACATATAGAGCAGCCGGTGCGGGGCACGGCTGCCATCGCGGCCCCCGTTGGACGCTCATGTGCCCGTGCCCACGCCCCAGGGGCTTCCATGCTCCTGCCCACAAGGGCTTCCTGTACGTAGGTTCTGCTCCATGTCTGTCTACCTCCCGCTGTCACAGTTCTCACTTCTTTTACCTTGTCTCTCAAAAGAATTGACAGTGAGATCCCCCTCCTCTCCTACCCCCTACCTCCCTTCCTAATTTCCTTCCATCTCTATTCAGTAGCATTCCTATCATCTCCACATTTACCCTAAAGCAGGAGATCTAGGCATTGTGTCTGCTGTATGTGTACACAAGCCAGCCAGTAGAGCCTCTTCCTACTCATTAGTGCCTTTGTTAACTGATCTCACTACACCCTTGAGTTGCAACGCTCAGCCGCTGGTCAACTTTTCTGTACGTAATGCCTAGTCAGATGTTTTTGTAATGGGGTTAATAGTTTGGGGGGGGCGTGGTATTGGGAGCATTGTTTGTATGTGTGAGCAATGAAAGGGCTCCTTGTGCCTCAACATTCTGCCTGCATATCGATAATGTCAGTCTAATGTGGAATTACTCCGATCAGGAAAATGAGTTACACAAATGTATCATTCGTATCATCGTAACTAACGTCTTTTTAAGTTTTACCAGTTTAAACATTCAAGCAATTTTAAACCATCCCATGCTCGCGCACTCTCAGAGATGTTTTTCACTGCGTGCACATACAGTAAAGCCTAAATCCGCCTCACAAACAGCTCGCCAGTAACAAAAGTTATTTTTCGTGGATTATATCGCTTTAACAGTTAAAAACACGCAAAATTATGTCAAAACTCTGGTCTTGGTGAGTAACCTCATAAAGACAGTCGGTTATGTCTTAAATAAGCATAAAACGCGTGTGACAGACAGTATAATGAAACAGTAATGGATCCGTGCACCAGTTCTTAAAGTGAACGCAGCCATATGTGTCTGTCATTAATTCTGTTGTCATAACATAATATAGCATTAATTGTAAGCAATCAGAATTAATAGCCTATGTATTTAATTCAGTCAGGACTAAAAGACTATCCTTGGTTACTTTATTCAGTTTCTGTAGTATTTCTGACCTGCCCAAAAAACTTTTTTTCTTTTTATGTCTCTTTATTTGTGTCTTTATTCTATTGTATTTATTTGTGCTACTTTTTTCAATTTAATTCAAAGATTGAAATCAAGCTTCCATGTGTTGCATAAACTCTTAACAAAAAAATTACCCCATTGTAAAAACAAACATTTAGGTGAGATCAATGTAATAAAAAATTGTCTAAATATTTATTTATTTATCTATATCTATCTTAAACATAAAATAACCTGATCCTGTTTTAACCTGACTGTTCCGACTTGTCCAATTTTCAGCATCAATTTTGCATCTTGCATCAAAATCCTGTCTATTCATTGTATGCATTGTGTATAGTGTACCTAAAATAAAAAGTTTTATAATATATACAGGTTTGTGGCTCTTAATTTCTTTGTATTAATTAACCACTTGTAAACTTATGTCCACTGTTTTTTTTTTTTTTTGTAAATATAGGATTTGATCTATATTCATTATAATCAAATCGAAATCGAATCGAATTGAGAGCTTGCGAATCGAAATCGAATCGAATTTGAACATCTGAATTGATACCCAGCCCTAATGGTTTTCCTAATTTATAAGGTACCACTCAATAATAATAATAGGATTTATTTATCCTACAGTAGTTAAAATTGCACTAGTACAATTTCAAAAAAAGGCTGTAATGTTTCTTCTATTTGCTAGATATCTGGCTTGGCTTGCTGGCAGTCATGCACCCTGAAGCCCTTTCATCTCACATTGTAAAGTTAGATAAAATGGTACATTAGCCTTTTATACGCACCATTGTAGTTTCTCCACCAGCACCAAAATGTTTATATTGCAAAAAGCTATTGAATCATATGTACACTTTTGCTCAAGTGCAATGTCTGTAGCTGATGAAAAATTAAAAAGAATGTTTCCTTAATATTAATAACCATTCAGGAAGCTTGACTACATGGCACTCAGAAATACACTGTTAAGGTGTGGTCACATTAGTGAAATTTTGTGGTCAAAATAGGTGCAAGCCTATTGTCAAATCAAGCAGCTTTCTATTCCTGTTTTTTATTTTTTATTTTTTACCTTTTGCGGAATCCATGTGAGAATCTTTTGCCCACACTCAATTTCCCGGTTGCATGAATTCCTATTGAAATGACTGATTTCGTCCATGAAAATTTGCCAACAGCATGTGACCGCACCATTACACTTTCTAAAATCGTGATAATTTCTAAAATTGTGCTGGAGCAAAATAAGCACTAGAAAGTTATAAGCACTAGAAACTCATTCAATAGTAGAGTTTGCAGTTGTGACGTGTCTGTATTGTGTGTTTGCCAAAGGCGTCAACCTTTTGGCCATCAAATGTTCTCTTCTTTTGCAGTATCTGTGTCTCTTCGTAGGCCTCCGCCGGCGCGGTGCAAGCCTATTGTAAACTCAAGTGAACTAAAACTGAAAGGGGATGCCAGTGGAGTAACATTATGTTACCTTAAGTTACTACTTATTTTTATTTTTTATTTTTTTATTTCCACATTATGTAGTAATTCTTGGAAAAATGTTTTGGTAAATATAATTTGATATGTATGTGTTTCAATGCACATTTGTAGCTTACATTTTAATTTTGAAAAATTGAGAAGTGATGTAATTTTTGTTAAGTCTTGCTAGAGTTTTGTGCAACTAAGCCTTGCTGTTTCATTGGCATGTGCTACTTTTTACTGGGTTTGGTTTGTAGCGCTTAAGATTCTGCTTAAATGACACTGAGCACATTTTGATCTTGCTGTTTAATTTGAATTTAATTATTTGTTTGAATTCTTTGTCTCTGATCTGTGTGGGAAACACAGTTGGCTATAACACACGTTTCTTCCATTGCAGGTCTTCCTGTGGGACATGGATAAGTATACTCTGATCCGAAAGCTGGAGGGCCATCATAATGACGTGGTGTCCTGCGAGTTCTCTCCTGACGGGGCCTTGCTGGCTACCGCCTCCTACGACACTCGTATCATAGTGTGGGACCCTCACGCAGCCACTGTTCTGTTCGAGCTGGGGTATGTGACTTGCTTCTCCGCCTTCTGCTTGGTGTGGTAATTTTTGAGCTCATGTTGTTTTTCTGATCTCTTCTCTTCCCTTCAGGCATCTCTTCCCTCCTCCCTCCCCCATATTTGCAGGAGGAGCAAATGACCGATGGGTTCGCTCCGTTGCCTTTTGTCACGACGGTCGGCACATTGCCAGCGTCACTGATGACAGGTAAGATTATGCGAATCGTTGGTTATTTGTAGGGCTGAAACGATTCATCGAGTTACTCGATTAACTCAATTACAAAAATTCCTCGAGGCAAAAACTCTGCCTCGAAGCCTCATTAAATTCCTATGACGCACACTATACGCGCAGGGATCTATACTATAGCGCGTGATACATTTTGAATTTAGTTGGCGCAGTGGCGGAGAGTAAAGATGTCCATAAACGGCAGAGAATGTCTAAAGTTTGGGTTCATTACATACTTAAAAAGGAAGAGAACCAGGTGCTATGTGTCTACTGCAAAGTAGACCTGGCATAGGCTACCACAACAGTACGACTTCAATGATTCAGCATCTGAACCGAAAAGATCCACTTCCACTCCATGCTGTTTCACCAAGCGTCGCTGAAACAAGGTAAACTAATGGTGTTCGCACCGAACGCGGATAGAGCGTCAAATACGTGTTTATCGCGTCTAGTTAGACGCTTGAACATTCGCTCGAGTTCAAATTTTTCAACTTGCGCGGAAGACGTTCGCGGCAAATGCGTAGCCCAATTTGCGTCAGTCGCGACGCCCGGCGCGAATGATGCGTCTATTCGCGTCTTTGCATTGACTTTGTATGTAATCTACTCGCGCAAATAATTAAATTTGCGTTCGGTGTGAACACACCGTAAGCCTATGATACATTGATGTTCGCTGATTTTAATCCCATACTGTATTTGTAGCGATGTCGTGATGCGGTTTGACTAGATATGATGTTTAGCTTTGATGTTTTTAAGTAGTAAACGTATTCACATTCAATTGCAAGAGAGATAGCCTAAAAAAAAGAACCCCTTCACACACACGCACGCATGCACCCTCGTCTCTCTTACGCGCCAGTCAGATCAATTGTGGCAATGCATCACTAAACTTTTATGTAGCCACGCAACAATAATTTCAGCATGCATTCACTGTATACACCCCGACGTGACGGAGGAACAAATATCGTATTGCAGTCTTTGCGAGACCTTGTTTGTATGTCACGTCTTCCAAATAATTACAGACAACAACAAAAAATGAAATTCCCCAGCCTGCTTCTCCAAATCCACTCGTAGCCTACTTTTGGGGAAGACATTTTAATCGGCTACCAAAGTAATTGAGCATAGAACATTGTTGGCACTTAGCCTATACTAAATGGGTAAAAAATTGCAATAAATAGGCTTAGTTTTGGAGCCAAATGTTTGAGTTGGAATAAATACCAGTTGTTGTTTTTTTTATAAATAAAAGCCAAATGCTTGATCATTTTACAGCCACATCATTTTCGTTATCCATTATTTGTTTTGGTTGTTTAAAAACACACACAAAAATTATCCGATTAATCGATCGATTAAGTGCTAGATTAATCGATTACAAAAAGAATCGATAGCTGCAGCCCTAGTTATTTGCTCTTAAAAACTCAATGTTAATAGTTCGTTTGCAGTTAGTAGCCTGCATTAAGCGACAGGGGCTCAGGAAGGAGTGTGTGATTTGTAGCAGGGCCTCTTACTGGGAAAGATCACATGCCTCTCATATGACATCCATTAATCACTTTGAGCCGCCCAGTTTGCCTTCGCCGCACCTCCTGCTGATTCTCTTGTACTGAGAGAATGAAACCATTTGTGCTCTACAAAATGGTGGAGGAAGAACGTTACATTACTTCATGTATGATTTATTTTGTTTTTAGATTAAAGTTCTCTTTTGCTCACCGAGGCTGCATTTATTTGGTCAAAAATAGTAATAATGTGAAATATTATATCAGATGCTTAATTCAGTTAAAAATGTAATTTGGTAAAGCTGAATTTTCAGCATTATTACTCCAGTCTTCAGTGTCACATGATCCTTCAGAAATCATTCTAATATGCTGATTTGATTCTCAAGAAATGTTGAAGATAGTTTTTATCGGGGTTCTTTGATTAATGGCTTTTATTTCGAATAAAAAATCATTTGTAACGTCATAAATATATTTACTGTCACTTTTTTAATGTGTCCTTGCTGAATAAAAGTATTCATTTCTTTTAAAGAAATTAACTGAGCCCAAACTTTTGAATGTTAGTATATAAAATGCACTATTTGAATAAGTTTTGTCTAATTTTGTACTATCCTTAATTGAAATGTCATACTTTGAGTTTTATGCTTTGTATGCTTTAAAATTACATTTGTAAGACAAAGCAAACCACAGTTGTGAATAAGTCAACCGTATTTTAATTTTTCAGGCTGGTGCGTTTCTGGAGCATCGATGAGAAGAGTCCTCAAGCCATCGGCCCTCTCACTAATGGCCTCTGTTGTGCCTTTTCTACTGACGGAAGTGTTTTAGCTGCTGGGTAAGAATCTGTTATTCCACTGCTTGGTGGATAGTGTTACTACATAAATGATCAAATCTGTGTCTTGCCTTTCTAACTGCTCTTTTTTGGGATGATGCCAAAAATAACTTGAATCACACTTGCTTGTATCTTGAACGATCCATTTAAAAAGAAAATGCAGCAAACCGATTCTGCAGCTTTCTTTGTATATGAATTTTATTTCGAAGAGATGGCCGTAACTCATACTTTTCTGCATGACATTTCAATTGACTAGTACTGTACAAACACAGCAAGACCCAGTTTGATCATGATGTTTGTTTACGTTTACTAAAACAGTAGAATGTTTCAATGGCAAGTCGAATACACTTAAATCCTTCTGTTCGTCGTCTTGCAGGTCTCGTGATGGCAGTGTGCATATCTGGGCTTCCCCACACAGCATTGCGAGCCTCCAGCACCTGTGCCGTATGACCCTGCGGCGAGTCATGCCCACCCAGCAGGTTTATACGCTGCCCATTCCTTTCTCCATGCAAGACTACCTGGCCTACAAGACACTTTAACATGGAACGCAAACCACGGCACTCTGTGAAACCAAGGAATAAAAAATGTTTTTCTGTTCATACAGACCCCCTGAAGTAGGTGAGGTCAGTTCTTTTTGTATTTATTTATTATTTTTATTTTGAAAATGTACTTTTTCTAGTTGCAGGTATATTTCAGTACTTTTTATTTGTTGAGATTGTTTTCGTCTTTCTTTTTTTTTTCATATCATGTAGCGGCCTTCACAGACAGCCTTAATATATCAGCGGACCACGTTTTGTCCTTTTGATTTGCATTCTTTTTTTTTTCATCTGGCACAACTTGTACATCAACTTAGAGTTGATAAATGATGGGTGAAAGTGGTGCTTTCTTTGCCTCAGTTCAAGGTATTCCTCCACTGAGTTTAAAGCAATGTGACGGGGGATTGTCTCCCAAATGTTCTGCAGTGTTTTCTTTTTTCGTGCTGGTTATGAGAGGGATTGAAGGGAAGTGACAATGTGAAAGTGTGTATGAATGCATGCTTGTGGTAGATGGAACTGAGTTTGGTTGTTCAGGGACACAGGCAGTGCCTCCCCTTTACGTGCCTCTTTGGAGAAAATAAACTCATCCACACGCTTATGCTGCTTCAGTAATGGCCTTATGTTCATCGTCACAAACCTAAAAGAAATTCAGAAATTGTATATTTTTTACCTGTACAGAGATTTGTAAAGGCACATTTTTGTTGAGTGTTTGTGTGTATATATACATATGTTTGTATTAATGTATATATGTAGCTCCAATTTTTTTCCTTCACTTTGTAATGCTTGTATTGAAAGTCTGCCGTGATGGTCTTTTCTCTTGTGCGATGATGATGGTTTGTAGGGGAATGACACAAGTTTGCTTTGAGGAGAGACTGCCTGCCAGTTTGATGAGATGTTGCCTAACCAGTAGCGAAACTGATGCCACACCATTGATTTCTCATTCCATTTGCTGTATCTGACCCGGCCCGACACATTGCCTCGTCCTGACCATTATCTCTCAACTCACAATAAAACCTCAGTCTTTTCACCCTTCGGCATTCTAGATGAATAGCCATGATGAGTGTTTTAACAGAGAGAGCCAAAGTGTGGTTTTATGGGCGTGTCTCATCTGCCTCTGGTTTTGAGGAACTGGTCATGTTGGGGGTCTTGGATTATTGGATGTCCTGGAGCAAAATGGAATTATTCTGTTTGTGTGTATATGCATGTGACCCTGCCTGTCAATCAATCTTATTTAAGAATGTGGGAATCAGAATGTGGCGCATTCATCTGGTCATGCAGTCAAGCAGTCTTGGCAATAGAAATGTTTTGAAAAAGCTGATGCCAAAGATTCCCTTGGGTTCTTATTGATGTGGGAGTCAGTTTTATCTTTCCCTCTCCTTCATTTATGGCTAAAACTTGAAAGTCTTTATGTATGTGTTATTCTACCTGGGTGTATGAAGAATGCTGATGTTCAACCGATTGGGTTTTCTTTTGACAGATTCTTATAAAGTAACTCTAGAAAGGATACGTAGATGCACTTCAGTGTTCCAACTAGAATTTTAGAATTGCTGGGGTTTTTTTTTTTAATACGGTGGTGGTATTTTTCAATCATTAATATTATAGAGATGCTTTAACTAGTTAATTTGTCCATCTGTTTCAGACAATACCTAATGCTGTGTTCACCAGGAGCAAGTGAATTTGTCAACAAGTCATTTTTACAAGAATGTTTTTTTTTTTTTAAGCTGGTGGGATTTTTGTTTGTTTTGATTGTTGTTGAAATAAAGTATTTTACATCAATTTGTTGTCTTGAAGCAGTTTTTAGACAGTTTTAATGTTTAATGTATTAAATTAAATAGAATGTATGTATTTATAAAAAGGAAGCTTTTCATTTTTTTTTATTTAATTTATTCCAGTGAAGCTGAATTTACAGCAGCCATTACTTCAGTCTTCAGTATCGTATGATCTTTTATTTTCAGAAATCATTTTAATATGCTGATTTTATGCTAAAGAAAAAATTCTTATCAATGTTAAAAACAGTTGTGCTGCTTAATATTTATGTAAAAACTTTCCAGGATAATTTGAATTTTAAAAGAACAGCATTTACTTTTGTTACATTATAAGCGTCTTTAATAATCAATTTAATATAAAAGTATTAATTTCTTACCAAAGAAAAATCCTAAATCCACATATATAATACATATTAATGTGTGTGTATTTATATATAATTGCAAATAATTTATTTATAAGTGAATGTCTTTATAGTAGTAAAAATTGTATGCATAAAAAGCAAGAAAAAAAGGTTTGATTTAGGAGCCAGGGGTTGTACGCTCCCTGTTCATGGGACATCTGACCCTGTTGGTGACTGTACAAACAAGAATCACTGTGAGATTTCACAGCTGTGCTAATCTTCCCAGGCTCCTCACAACAAGTCACTCCTCAAGAACCTTCAGCCTTAGCAACTTAAAACTGCTACAATTAGATATGGAATTATCACCTTTTTTTTTGGTGACCTATTCATTCAAAACTGTTTTTTAAAAGAAATAATGTAATAATTTGTTTAGATTACATTCCACAGAGTGTGCAAACTTACTGAACAGCTTTAGTGTTTTTAGACTGTCCAAAAGGCATGAAAGGTCATTATCGGGTTTATTATTGACTAGCACATGCACCGGTAATGCTATCGGGTTAAATATTAATACCTTCTGCCAATAAACGCGAAGCTTCAAAGGCACAAAATCATTGCAACACGTTTCACATTACGGCCTGGAATATGAGGCCAGATCAATCTCAACATTTTCTTGTGTTTCTCAGCTTGTTTTGTAGATATGTTGCAACCTCTCTGGAGTGGCTCATCTTCCAGACGTTTCTGTAGCATAAAGCATATGAGACACAACTGTCTTTTTAATGGCCCTGAGAAGGAAAACATATTCCATGTTTTCTGTGATTGCTACAAGAATAATAAATGAATTATTGACTACACAGAATGAGGCATACAGTGTAGGCTACTGTAAAAAAAAAACCTGCAAGCTGCGGTTAATCAAAAATTGATTAAATTGATTGAACATGGCAGGATTATTTTAAATATTACATACTTATCTTGTAGTTACAATAAATAAATAAAATGCATTATTTGATGTTATGTAGGCTACATATATATTTAGTTGCTGAAAAACTAACTACTGTTGGTAATAACCTCCAATATAGATGAAAGATACATGATGAACATCACAAGATTGTTAAGTTAATATAAAAGCGGCACAGTCTGATTCACACAAACACTAAACATTCATTTAACAACATTAAATGTAACATAAAACCGCAATGTAGCCTACATAACTGATTAGAAAAAAACTACGAAGAAACTGTTATTTCAACAAAAATACATCAAATGTGAAGTGTCACGCAGGGAATTGTGGGAATGTCATTTTACGTTTTTTCAATGTAAATTACACAATGACATGTTCTTTTTCACTTCCAAAAATGTAACGGTATTTTACTGTAAAATTAGATTAAATATACGGTTAGATCGTTCACAGTTACTCACTGTAGCCTAGTAGGCCTACGGAAACTTTCTGTTAACCAATTAACAGTTTTTCACCGTATATGTTACCGTTAACATCACGATCATTTTTTACAGTGTGGACAGACTTCTAGTCACTTCTATATCCAGCAATCTAAGCAGTCGAAAGATGGCTATTTATAACCTTAAAATGTAAAATGAGCAGGTTTATGACAAACAGAACTACAAATCATTTCGACAGCCTGAGGATCATCAAGTCAAAACACACAGTAAATGTGTGCATCCTCATATAGCCTATACAAATCAACTTACACTTATATAGTTATTATTTATGAAGAATATTTGAGTATAGCCTATACAGTATCAATTTTCACATGACTGTAATTTCAGTAATTTACACTATTTTTTCACATTTTAATCTTTTGCGCGTTATATAGGCTACTGTTAGCAGCTATCAGATGTTTGCAGAAAATAAACGTTGCCAGTCTGTATCACTGCAAAAAAAAATATATATAGCCTACTTTTAAGTTTTAATTATTTATTTTTTTATCAAGATATTCATTTTAATAGTTCTTTTTTTTTCACTCGTCAATCATATCATATAGGCCTAATTTTTTTTCGCTCTTCAAACAAATTCACAAGTTGCAATTCCTAGACAAAAGCAGTTAAATCATGACACGATGTTTTAACAATTATTGCTTGGCTATCTTGGCGTGTGCCTGGGTCACATATGAGCACTCTTTTAATCAGTCATGTCAATGTCAATTCTAATGACGTAATTTCCACGTTTGATGCATAATAATGTTATAATTATGCCTTGTATTAAAAAAAAGTAATTTGTAATAAATGAGACAAAATATGTGTTTAATTAGGGCTATAATATAAAAGATAGTAATATCAATAATGATACAAATATATATATATATAATATTATATTATATGTAATTAGTTACTGACTGGAATTTCTTAATGGTTGCTTTGCAGTATTGCTTTTCGTTTGTCAGTAACTAATGACATATAATATTATATATATATATTTTTATCATTATTGATATTACTATCTTTATAATTATGCCTTGTATTAAAAAAAGTAATTTGTAATAAATGAGACAAAATATGTGTTTAAATAGGGCTATAATACAAAAGATAGTAATATCAATAATGATAAAAAAATATATAGGCCTATATAATATTATATGTAGGCTAATTAGTTACTGACAAACGAAAAGCAATACCATAGCCTACTGCAAAGCAACCATTAAGAAATTCCAGTCCGTAAATGCTGTCAGTGACTAGAATCAGTGTGACCGTGTCCTTTTACAGTGTGTGTATGCGCGTTCCTTCAGCTGCTCCTCTGGGCTCGAGCTGCAGTCAGAGACTCGTGTGAGTGAAAATCACACAGGGAGCGCGCGCTCTCTAGCGTCTACTGCAGTCACACTCAGCCTCATGAGTCATGACTATAATGAATGAATGAATTCCCATTCAAGACAGCATGCAACAGATATTCCGTGTTAAGCAAACACATTTTTACAATGTGCTTTAAGCCTGTAAAATGTATTTAAAAACAAAAACAATAAACATTTAGGTCCTGCCTACTTATGTCATTTTTAGAAGGAAAAAGTCATGTTTAGATTTATATATGCCCACCTTATTTTTTTTCTCCTGACCATAGACGACACAAAATCTAATCTCAGCACTTTTTTCATTAATTGAAAAATGCATTGACCGAAGCTTCCGCGCCCTCAGATCACTTGGTGGCTGTGGTTGCAAGAGGTAAAAACGATATAAATACTGTTCGTTTTCTCACACAAACCGCTCGTTTCGTGTCGTAGGCCATCAATGTGTACTTACATTTACGAGTCATTAAATCATGTTTAATTTGGACTTCTCTGTGCATGCTCTTTGAGGTGGTGACCATAGACCTGCATTATATGACTGACAGACAAGAACGGGACCTAAAAATATCAAAATTGAAACTACTGTGGAAACAAAGACACCTACATCTTGGATGCTCTTGACTCTTGAGGTAAGCTAAAACATACCAAAAATTAATTTCAAAGTGAACTATCCCTTTAAGGGGGGCATTTGATCATTAGTCAAATGACGTCACAAGCTAATTCGCTTAAGCAAACACTTTAATAACACAAATGATTATGTAATATATACTGTAGATCAAAAGCCAAACTTCTTTTGATAAACTGACAATCATTTATAATTGTAAAAAAAAAAAATTATTGGAAAGAAAGTTCTTTGGTAAAAACCTAATACATTTAAGGTTATGTAGCAATCACGCTGTCTACAGTTGAGAAAAAAGAGCTGTGCTTTTTTTCAGCCTTCCTTCAATTGTCATAATTTCCTGTGAACCAAATATCTTTCTGATTGTGAATCACTTCCTGTCTTGATGTTGCACACACCAGGACATATTCTGCGTAGATCACGTGAAATGTCTGGTGAAACCAAATTTTCTGGAACAAATATCTTAAACTTCAACAGGGACATCAACAATATGTGACTATAATGTTACAAATAGTTTAGAGTGAGCTGGGTTTAATTCTAAATTAAAAGTCCAGCAGGAGGCACTATATGCTCACTCATATTCATTCATACCTACTCAGGATTATCATCCAAATGGCAGTGAAAGTGATTTTAAACAACAGCATTTGTCTTTTTCTTTGTTTATTTAGAAAGCATATTTACATTTACCACTTCAAGTGTTGTGAATGTATTGCTTTAAACACTGCTATCTGAATTATTAAGCAGATGGCTATCAATTCACATAACAGAATTTGCAAACTGCCACAGCTTATAACCTGCTAATAATGTGCAGAGCCATATTTGAACAACTGCCTGTCCTCCATCTATAGGCTACAGTTCATGCAGCGTGTGAACATGTTGACAGATAGGCTACATAAAAACCCAGTGCTTCCCTATATGGAGGGAGTGTCTGTTTAAGAGTGTTGTTTGTTATCTCTTCTATGAAGCCTAACCTGTTCTGCTGTGTCATTACGCTGAGGATACCGTGTGTGTGTGTGTGTGTGTGTGTGTGTGTGTGTGTGTGTGTGTGTGTGTGTGTGTGTGTGTGTGTGTGTGTGTGTGTGTGTGTGTGTGTGTGTGTGTGTGTGCGTGCGTGCGTGTGTGCGTGTGGCTCGGTTTAGAGCAGCATTTCAACCAGCCCGCAGAACCATCAAGCTTCTGTCATACAGCGGACGTGGACATAATTACTGCCAAATATATTATTTTTTTCTTAGCAAGCTAAAGCTTCTTTGTAAACTAAAATACAAACTGGTTATAGTTTTCCTTTGGTTAAAAGTGTCTCTGCCTCACTGTCTCACGGGGAAAGAGAATTTGCAGTGCCTCTTCTCTGGCTTCAGTCCTCCTTACTGTTCATTTTGAAATTATGTCTCCGTCTTGGCAAGTAGAGGAGAAGAGAGTTTTCCCATGGGAAAGTGTGTACCTCATACAGCAAGTTGGTGCTGTAGCATTTCTACATGTCTCTGTAGTGTAAACACTTTCACAAACCCTGAACAGAATAAATTAATTTCATTACAGGAACACAATACATTAACATCAAGGGTTCCCAGCAAGTTGAAAGCAACTCAGTGGAAAGTCTAAAAAAAGTATTTTCTCATCTGAGTGGGCAGAGAGCAGTTAGGCCTACCTGTAAATAGTCTCTCACACACACACACACACACACACACACACACACACACACACACACACACAACATGTTTTTCCAGCTCTTATTCAAAGGGTGTCTCTGATGACATAATGGGAACACTGTATCACTGAACCAATACAAGAGAGCAGACATGTGACAAAACAAGTTCTAACAATGGATTGTACACCTATAATATACTGATATTAATAAATATATATGTTTTATCTAACTTTCATTGTGTCAAATTTAAGGTGATGTCAGGTAAAATGGGGCAGATATGGGTGGCGTGTCTCTCAAATGATATAAAAGTAGGTCTACACAATAGTAGTCTGTTTGAGGCTATCAGATGATTTGATTGGTCCGAGTAGGCCAATGCAAAGGTGGGAGGTGGGAAAGATTTTGGTGGGGAAAACCTGAAATGCCCTATCCTGCTAATTACAAATGTTCATAGGGATGCACGATGTCGGGGTCATGTAAATTATAGTTGGATTTTAGTATTTTTTTTATCAATCAGGATCGGACGATGTTAGATGGATACCCCTTTCTAATTGTTTCATCAAACATGTTTTTAAAAACTATAAAAACATGACTAGTTAACCATAATCAATAATGTGCATGTAATGCTTAAATTCACTTAGGCCTACGTAAAAAAAAGTGATGTCGTCTTACTATGTAGCCAATTATTCTACTTAACTTTTTAGCCTAATAATAATAATTTACGTATAAAGCACTTTTAACAATGTCGCTGTACGCAATAACTTATTGTTTATGTAAAAAATAAAATAAAAAATCTATTACGTAAGTGATCTCAAACGGTCCGATGCGCGTGTAAACAAAACTTCATTTCCCACAGTGCAAAGCACGAAACGCTATATCAAACAGCTGACTAGGGGTGAAACTTATGTGAGCGCTTCTCTCAGGGCTTCGCGGGATATACATACATACAACGTTTGAGGCGGAACAAGCTGACAAGGCGTTCTGTCTTGCTGTCAAACCAGACCACGAGTATGTTTGAGGAGTATGCTTGCGCTCTGAATTACTAGGCTACAATACTCATTTGGAGTAGGACTGTCACCTCCGTTTAGTCTACATGCGGTCACAAACATGTCTTTGGACTAGTGTTTGCTGTAGTTCGCGCTCATGCCCCTTAAACCCGTGCCAATGCCGAGGAATGGATACTGTCTCTAGCAAAGGTGGAAACATGGTCGCAAGTGATGAGGAGCATTTGGACGGGAGCGATGGCAGTAATGCGGGGATGGACGCGCTTCACCAGTGCAAACTCATCCAGAACTTGATCGAGATCTCCATCTCTAGTCTGAAGGGGCTCCGGACCAAGTGCGCCGCATCTAACGACCTGACCCAACACGAGATACGCGCTTTTGAGGTAACGTAGGATTCAGTTTTTGCCTATATGTGTCTTTTAATATCAAGCTTCGGTGCTGGTCATGCCAGGTTGCAGGTTATTACTTTACAAGTTTGTACCATGACACTGTGATTCAGACTGCGAATGATAGTTCTTGATAGGCCTATGCCTTAATAATAATGTTTGCTTTGTGCAAACCATCATCAATCATCATTCATTTTTCTTGTCTATTAATACATTGACACTATAACGTCATAAATGCTAGGGTCATGGAAACCCCCTCTTGGCTCACATTGTTTCCTGGTTCTTGAGATAGTTATTGAGGTTGCATCTGCCTACCCTATCCTGATGTCAAGTTTTAGAAATGAACAGCACTTTTGAGTAATAACATGGAGCGGGTCAATCCTTTATATTGTGATCACATGACAAGATGTGTCATGAAAATTATAATGTTTATATGATATGGTGCTTTAAGGCAGTGCTTAACAAGCACAAACCGATCTTTAGGGATAGTTCAACCAAAAAATGAAAATTCTGTCATTATTTACTCTCCCTCATGTTGTTCCAAACCCTTAAAGGATTAGTTCACCCAAAAATGAAAATTCTGTCAGTAATTACTCACCCTCATTTCGTTCCAAACCCATAAAACCTTCGTTCATCTTCGGAACATAAATGAAGATATTTTTGATGAAATCTGAGAGCTTTCTGTCCCTCCATTGACAGCAACGTCATTGCAACTTTCAAGGCCCAGAAAGGTGGTAAAAACATTGTTCAAATAGTCCACAAAAAGTTTTCTCATCGCTTCATAACATTAAGGTTGAACCACTGTAGTCACATGGACTATTTGAACAATGTTTTTACCACCTTTCTGGGCCTTGAAAGTTGCAATGACGTTGCTGTCAATGGAGGGACAGAAAGCTCTCAGATTTCATCAAAAATATTTTCATTTATGTTCCGAAGATGAATGAAGGTCTTAAAGGGTTAGTTCACCCAAAACTGAAAATTCTGTCAGTAATTACTCACCCTCGTGTTGTTCCAACCCCGTAAGACTTTCGTTCATCTTTGGAACACAAATTAAGATATTTTTGATTAAATCTGAGAGCTGGATCACTCCTCCATAGGCTTCTTAAGGGATCAAAACTGGGCGGCCCAAAAGATTATGAAAGACATTGTTAAAATAGTCCGAGTGACTACAGTGGCTCAATCTTAAGTTTATCAAGCGACGAGAATACTTTTTGTGCGCAAAAAAACAAACAAAAATAACGACTTTATTCAACTACTCATTTCCTTTCCTGTGGGCCTTGAGATTTCACGTAGTGGAACTGCGCAAAGCTTCTGTGTTGTATGTCACACGTAGGCTCACTATTGGCCGACGTTTCAACGTTTCACTATTTTCTGAAGCGTGTCAATCACTTTATGATAAACAGCTTTAATTTAGGCTTTTATTCACATTTAAACATTCATCAGCGGACATAAACAGAAGCTCATCCGAACCTGCTTGATGTGCGAGAACAAACCTCATTGGTTCTTGCGGAAGCTCAAACGTGCTGCGTAACACTAATGAACCTCATTGGTTCTTGAGGAAGCTCAAACGTGCTGCGTAACACGAATGAACCTCATTGGTTCTTGAGGAAGCTCAAACGGGCTGCGTAACACTAATGAACCTCATTGGTTCTTGAGAAAGCTCAAACGTGCTGCTTAACACGAATGAACCTCATTGGTTCTTGAGGAAGCTCAAACGTGCTGCTTAACACGAATGAACCTCATTGGTTCTTGAGAAAGCTCAAACGTGCTGCGTAACACGAATGAACCTCATTGGTTCTTGAGGAAGCTCAAACGTGCTGCGTAACACGAATGAACCTCATTGGTTCTTGAGGAAGCTCAAACGGGCTGCGTAACACTAATGAACCTCATTGGTTCTTGAGAAAGCTCAAACGTGCTGCGTAACACGAATGAACCTCATTGGTTCTTGAGGAAGCTCAAACGTGCTGCTTAACACGAATGAACCTCATTGGTTCTTGAGGAAGCTCAAACGTGCTGCTTAACACGAATGAACCTCATTGGTTCTTGAGAAAGCTCAAACGTGCTGCTTAACAAGAATGAACCTCATTGGTTCTCGCACGTCAAGTGAACATGCTTGAGCTTCTGTTTACTACAACTTATGTGTGAGTTGATGAATGTTTATATATGTGAATAAAAGCCTAAATTCAGTCTGTTCATCATAGGGATTCTGTCTCTTCAGAAAATTTGGACTAAACCGCTTATTTCAAATAGATTAGTTGTACTATGATCTCTCTATGAACATTTTGAAGCCATTTTTCAATAATGATGTTGTAAATGCTTTCATATTGAATAATTGTCATACTCATCGGCATGATAATCACTGCAATGGAATACTTTTGCAATAGTCTATTGTAGATGAGTTTACTAGTCAAAGTCCTCAAGCTGATCTAAAAATATGTTCCATCATGTCAAACAGCCTGTTATCTGAGTTTAGCTCTGCAAACAAGAAGAGCATATGTCAGAGGAGTGTTAGAGCTATTTTTAACCAAACGCAGGTATTTTTTAACGGTGGTTAACCCCCTCCCACAAAAGTGAACTGAAATCCAAAGTTAGTTGAACCTGTGGAACAGTCACTTTTAGTAATGGTTGCATTTTTTGAAACACCATAACAAGTGGCTTTCCCGCGAATACAAACTTATCTACTTAGTAAGGTCAAGGACTTTCTTCTCTGAATCAAAACATGGCTTTCATGTTCACTCCTAGATATTCATGCTTGCAGACTCAAACTTTTAAATAATCAAGTTGGGCTTGAGGCTTTGTTAAATAAACCATCTAACTTTGAAGATTTTATGATGCTAGTTCTCACAGACACAGGTAATTGTTACTTTTGTGGTGGGTTTTGGTGCTTGTTTTGGAGATACTTATCTACTGGCTGTGTAGTCTTAGGGAGGCGCTTCAAGTTTTTCTCATGATTAAATTCAAAAATAGCACTTGTTCAAGTCAGGTCATGTCACGTTTTTTTATCACTTTCATTATTATAAGCCAAGTGCAAGAAAGAGAATGAAATACATGTTGTTTGAAACCACATCAACATTTATATAACAGAGTATGATAATGTGTGGTGGTGACCAAGGCCACAGTGAACTGTAATTACAAGCAATATACAATAAATAGTAAGCAATAAGTACCTAGAGGGCTATATATAAAGTAAAATATAGTGTTAAACAGTGCCGACAGTGTCAGATGGACTAGTGTTGCCAGATGTAAACGTATACAGATTCTAGTGCTCATAAAATGACTGTAATGCGGCAAGGATTGTGCTGAGGTAGAACAATAACAAGCAGAGTCAGGAGTATGGGTTGCATTTCTGCATCGGGTGGGGGTGGACAGTCCATTTGTTGATTGTCAGTCATTGGATAGTCTGAAAACTTGTGGGAAGAAACAGTTCATCGTCTAGTGGATTTGGACTCCCCAAGCCTCCTCAAGCCAGATGGTAGGGGTATGAAACTAAAGAGATGGGACCCATAATGATGCTCTGGTCCTTCCCGTTCAGTCCTTGTTAGCTGAAAGTCCGGTTCCAGTAATGAACTGAGCTATTTTCACTACCCACGGCAGAGCTTTTTTTTTTTTGTCTAAAAAAAAGAGCAGTTAACACACCAGACAGTGATCCAGCAGGTAACTCAGGTACTCTCTATGACACACCTGTAGAAGCTGTTGAGTTTTCACTAGCTTAAAGGGATAGTTCACCTCCAAATTAAAATTCTTTCATCATTTTCTCACCCTCTTGTTCCAAACCTGTATACATTTCTTTGTTCTGCTTGAACACAAAGGAAGAGTGTCTGTAACCAAGCAGATCTCGCCCACCCCCCATTCACTACCATAGTGGGAAAAAATACTATGGTACTCAATGGGGGGCAAGATCTCCCTGGTAACAAACATTATTCTAAATATCTTTATGTACAGCAGAACAAAACATTTATACAGGTTTGGAATGTAACTTGAGGGTGAGTAATTGATGACAGAATTTTCAATTTTGGGTGAACTATCCCATTTAGTCTCCTCTGTATGGTTAAGGAAGAGGTGATCAGGGTCCATGTGTTGAGGTCACTGTTAAGGTGCATGTTTTTGACACTGTGAGCAGTTGGTTTGTCTGACCTCTCCAATCATATCATTTTGTGATTGTTTTCTTTTCATCAGACTTTTCTTTTTATGCCATCTTTTTGATGTCATCAGCTTATGTAATTGCTTTTATGTTTGGATCTTTTGGTCCGTAAGGTGTGTACACAACCCTGGTGACACCGGTGTTGAGAAAGGTTAACTTTGAAGTCAAGAAACACCAGGTGGCCATGACTCTTAGTCTTTTGATACCTGCGGAGACGTAGGTCCAGTGTGCACTCTGAAGCTAGATCTGCAAGCAGTATTAAAAGCTTTCAGTGGACAGTTGTGGAGGGCTGAGAGAAGACTGACACAGTATGGGGTCAGGCTTTGAAGTGTGGCTTGACATCCCAAGGGCCGGCTCAAAGTGAGGGACATGGTAATCTGAGTCGCTGCAGTATCCAGGTGGTGGCACGGGATTTCCTATCCGCTCACTTCCTGGACCTCCAAGGATACAATTTGCATACCCAGTAAAGATGCCGATCTCCAGAGGTAACCAAAATGTGGCCAGAGGGCGCAAGCGCATCCCTCTCACAAAGTCTCAATCCAGTCCTCCTCCTGGTGAGCCACCTTTTTGCAGAGTACACCTGTCCATGGTTGGAGGTCAGCTCTGCAGAATTATGGACCTCTACAATGGACTTTTACTTTCTCCAACACACCTAATGCTAAAGACCTAGAGTAGCTGGTTCCGGTGTGTCAGGAGCTAAACTCTGCAAGAAGGTAACACTCCAGGAGCAGGATTGGACACCTCTGATTTCAGGAGAAGTGGTCATTGTGTCACACATTGGACCTCAACATAGGGGTGTGTGGTATCACAATCTTTGATCGTGATCGATTAAAATGTCACAATCTGCTTTGAAGAA